TACGGGAAAGAATGGGACAGGCTCTAGCAGGATCTGTGGTGATAGAAAAAGGGGAAATGGTTTCAAAGAGGGGAGATTTTTTCCTTACATCTAACCTAAATCTTATATAGTGAGGGTGGTGAGACACTGGCATAGGTTGCCCAGTGATGTGGCTGATGCCCCGTCCCTGGAGACTTTCAAGGTGAGGCTGGATCAGGCCTTGGGCATCCTGATCAGCTGTGGTGTCCCTGTTCACTGCAGGGGAGTTAGACTAGATGGCCTTCAGAGGTCCTTCCCAACTCTAAGGATTTTATGATTCTACAGGCATTGTTCTGATGAATTTCAGTGAATGCTTAGGATACTGCATTTTTTTCTTCTTCTGTTAATAAGTAACGAGAAACAAATGAAATGTTCAAGGGAATTTTTTTCAGTGTTCAAGGAGTTTTTTAAACAGGAAGAATCAAAATGGAATGTTTTGGCCAAATATCTTGTTAGTCAAATTGTTCTGGTGTTTGTCAATGCATTTTTGCTAACTCTGCTGGCAGCTGAATGATTGGGGGAACAAGAATTTGAATTCACTGTTGTACAGCCACCAGAGTGTACAAAAGTAGTCCAGCTAGCATATCTTTTTGGCTGTATTCAAAGGTGGAATATTTGGTTTTCTTAAGAGATCCAAATGTATAGTGCACAAATGGGCTAAAGGAAGGTAAGGCAGTTTGCTCAGAGATGGAGTGGTTTAGTTAGTCTGAAGTTTTGTGGCCAGTCTTCCTAATGGAGTCTGCAGCACTGCAGTCAGCTTAAGGTGTCGTTATTGTGAAATATCTGTGGAATGTTTTCTGCCTGTGAGAGAGCAGGCAGTTGTCATTCACAAGGCTTGCAAGATAACCCCATGGAGTATATACTGCAACTACAGAAAATTGCCCAATTTTGGTGTTGTGCTGGTATCCTCAGTTGAACTGATGCCCTACTTTCCTTTCTGTTTCTTAAAGAAAAGACGTAACGTCCTGAGAGTAAGATGCATTTCAGATGTGGAGATGTATTTCTTGGCCAAGTTATTTTTAAATAATATAGTTTTGGTACTTAAATATTTTTAGTAATTTTTCAGTATTTTTAGTACGTAGTTATTGAGCTTTTATATGATGAATCACAGAATGATTTGGGTTGGAAGGAACCTTAAGGCCCACCCAGTTCCAACCCCCTGCCATAGGCAGGGCTGGTTCCCACTATGCCATGCTGCCCCATCCAACCTGGCCTTGAGCCCCTCCAGGGATGGGGCACCACGCTGTCAGTGCCCAAATCACTTGGATGTTATGTGGAGCACTGTGGTATTCTTTAGACTGACCGAAGCAGATAGCAAATATTTTATGACTCTCTCAGTTGTGCAAACCTTGATTTAACCTGTCAGCTTTAGAATTCAGGTTTCTGTTGCTTAATTGATCAGAATTCCGGAAGTGCTGTGTACCAAGAGGTACCTTTCTGCTGTTGGCTCAGGGGGGCCTTAAGTGCTGCTGAAATAGCACTGGACTACAGCACAGGCTTTTTCAGGCTGTAGAGCTGCTTAGAGGTTGCTCTCATTTGGGTATTTGTATTCCTTCTGTTAACGGGTGGTCTCTGCACCAGGTTGAATACCACCCTTTTTCTGTAAAGTCCCATGAAATAACACAATGGCGATGGGCTGAAAGCATGTGACCTCCCAGGACAGAAATCTGCTCTGCAGGGAGAACTCATTAATGCAAATTAGCGTGTCTCTTTCCTTCTGGCTTTTTTAGAGACAGAACTTTTCTGCGTGTGTTTCCTTTGATGTGGAGACTCCTGGTAAGACGTTTAAACTAAAATGCTGTTGAATAGGAACAAATTTCTTTGGATATTAGAATACGGGGCTGCTGCAGCTGTTTCCCAGAAGTGAAAAATTGTCACGCTTTCGGAAAAGATTCCACTCAAATGGAGATGGTGCACAGTAACTTCAAAGCCTTCAAAAAGTATTGCCGGTGTGCTGAGCAAACAGAGCCTGATAGAAAATGAGCGGCTCATTAGTCTGCAGACTTCCACCTTTTGGGGATGGGAAGGGACAGCTCTTTGCAGTGCAAGGTATGTTTCTTGAGAACTGGTCATGAATGTTTCTGCGTTGAAGGAGCCAACTTCAGCTGTTGCTCTGAGAAAGCAGCACTCTTTCCAGTAAAGGTATTTGAGCCCAGTACTCTCTGACCAGGTTCTTCTCGGTATTCCACATGAGGAGCCTGTAGTGCTGGTGGACCCAGAGAGGTTTCACACTTCTAATGAACACAGGGAGAAAACATTTGATGCTGCCAGTTGATCCACTCAGCAATGATAGTCAGTTGCTCTGCTCATCTGATGGAGCTGTTTATCCGAAACAAAGGCCACAATCGGTTCCCTTTGTGTTCCTGATGAAGTCGGCTTGTTTCGCAACAGCTGTGGTCAGTTACACCCTATATTATTTCCTGAGCTTCATGGGCACATCGCTCTGGCCCATCTCCTCTGATTCTTCTTCCATTATAGGGGTTTATGGATCAGACAATATTAGAGCTCTTTTCATAGCTAAATTTGCAGGTTTCTGAGCCATTATTGGAGAAATTGCTGGCTGAGAATACAGGAAAGTACTGATCTTCATGATTTAATCGTGTATGAGGTACAACCAGCTCTATCAGTGCAGCCTGCATGGATGAAATCTCCTTGAATATAACTTCCAGTTTTACATTCATCAATAAAATATAGATAGATTAGTTCAAAAGCCAATAATAAAGTGTTAGAAATGAAATTTACTTCATCAGAGTGCACTTGTAGTTTCTCTGCAGTTACGGTTTGTGAGCTTGCTTTTTACCAATTCTTATTAATTTATTAAATCTGTATGCATCACGCTCAACTATTTCCACCTACTCCTTACATTAATAGAACTACTGAATTCCTCTGGAGACTTAATTCTTGCTAAGATCTGGAGGGATTTCAAAGGAAATTGCATCACAGCCACAACCACATTTTGTATTGCTTTTCCCAAAGCAATCTGAGAACTCTTTCTGTGTTCCTCTGCATCCAGCCTCCCACCTTGGAGCCCTGCTGTGCATCTGGGGTTTGCTTCTGGGCATGCAGTCAGTCTGGGCCTTGCTGTAACTATTAAGCATGCCTAGTGCTTTTTTTTTTTTTAGTTGGGTTTTTTGCAGTGTTTTGCTGTCATGGACTGGGCCATTGGACTGGGATGTCTTTCAAGGTTACTAGGAGCACCTTGTCTACTAGAAAAGAGCTGCAGAAACATCCAGGGAAAAAAAAGATTTTTAATGTCATTGCTAAAATGTAGCTCTCTGGGATCATAATCATGATACCTGTTCGAACTGAGAGTTTGGAGATGAATAATAAGATGGTCAGAGGTCTGCACCTCCAAAACCTCTGACTGCTGTGTGCTGATGAATAGGACAAGACTTTGCGTGAGTGCTTCATACCTGGTGGAACTGACAGAGAAAAGGGTTATACCATTCTGGATGAAGTGCCTTTCCTTATGCTTCACAACTGTGGAGCCCTTGCCTAGCAGGTGCTGTTCCAAAGTCTCTGCACCAGCACTTGGGCTCCTGTGCTCACTGACAGCTGGTAGTTCTCTGTCCCTGTGAGCTTTCAGGTTGCCAGACAGTGTAAAAGAGGTAAGCACTTGTTATTTAATTTTGTTGCATATGCAGATGTCTGCTTAAAATTGCTCTTGTTCCTGATGCTCACTTCCACCAGGTGTTTTGGCCCCTGAATTCTGCTCTTTGTCACAATACTGATCTGTCGTTGTCATCCCCAGCACTTTGCTCTGCACTGCACATGACAGGAGAAGAACTTGCTTAATAGGATCTGAGTTTTCTAAATCACTTGGTATATATTACTTAAGAGTTTGGTCATATAGAATATTCAAGAAAATGGAAGCTTTTGTTTCAGTGGAAGACCTTTTTATCATGTTGTTAAAGATTGACTATTGCTCAGTGGAGAGGGAAAGGTAAATAAAAAAGGGAAGCTGATGCATGAGGCAGGATGGGCTGGGAGGAATGGTGTTGTACACTGAAGAGGTGCTGACTATTTCTGCAACCTAATAAGAAAAGCACAAGCATTTGCAAGGCATATCACTAATTAATAACCCAGAAAAGGTGATTGTAAGGTGTAAAAGCATATGTCCTTTCTGATTTGGGGAATGCAGTATGATATGGCATTGGTCAGATCTCTGGGCAGGGCATGGCACAGTACAGAATTTGTCTGGCCTAAGTTGATTTGTACTCTAGCGAGGTTTTGCTCATAGTACAGATTCATCAGGCACTGGTAGCAATCATGTCCAGAATGTGAATGCAGCTTTGAAGAATCTGTGGGCAACTCACTGTTGCTTTGTAATAATTGAAAGGGATTCAGTTTTACAGGGACCGATGGGCCAGATGCAGGCGGATTGAAGGGATGGAAAGATTCAGGTGGTTGGTATGGTTAGCAGGCAGATACTGGAAAGCCTGTTGAGGCAGTGCTTCCATTCATCCTTTTGCATTTCCAGTTGTGCTGCAGTTGTTCCCAAGAGCTGGCTGTACCAACCTGCAGCTTGCCACTGCGACTTCTCACACGGTTGGATAAGCAGTCCTTGCCAGGAGCAGAGTCCCCAAACCCAGCTGTTTCTTTCTCTTGCCTTTCTAATGGAACTTTTCAAGGAAAGGATCCACGTTTCTTTTTAATTTCTGTGCCTTCAGTGTCTTTGTACTTTTTTTTAAACATCTTGGTTTTGTTTTTTCTTTCTCTTTATTGTTCTGAGTAGTTCTGCTTCCACGTGGCCTTTGCGTTTTGCACTTGTAGGTCAATTGAGAGTAACCGCATGTAACACTTGAAGTGCTTTGCATTAGCTAATTAGCCAAAGTGTTTTGCTCACAAGATTATCTAAAAATAGGTTTTGTTGTGAGAGTGCTCTGAAAAAATTTCAGACCACCCAGTTAATGTAGGTCCTGCCATTTGCATTCTCTGAGCATGCAGAGCTAAAATTTTCCTTTTACATTTTTTTTGTAAAGTGTCTCTATGTCAGAGAGCCCTGCTGATTGATAATGGACTATGGAGTATCCATGCTAAGCTGCTGCTGCACACATCCAAGGTAGGATGTTGATACTTGGTCTCCAGTGGTGGTAGAAAGAAGGCAGACAGAATCTTGTAGTGTATGAGAAAGCTGGTAGACAAATTACATGTTTTTCTTCAGAAAAGAATAGGAAGGAACTCTCAATTTCCAGTAATGCAAACCTTCCAGACAAACTTACATTAATTTTGATAAACATGCTTTAGTCACAGTTCCGTGGTCATAAGACTGATGTGTGTTTCTTGCCATAGAAATGGTGGTGTGTATGTTGGAATTGGTCCAGGAAAAATCCCTCCTGGGGCAACTGCTTGTTTTTGTTAGCTAGCATCCTGCTTCTTTGTTCTGTGGTAGGTTTAACTGTGAATGGGGAGTGGAAAGCTGTAATCATTGCTTCAGCTGTGCTGCCCAACTGATACAGCAGCATTGGCTAGCACCATTTCTTAGCTCCTTTATCCATACAGGATCTTTGCCTGCGGTGAAATATGAAGCATTCTAAGATACTAACAGATAAATATTTGAAAAAGAGTTGCATCACAGGATGGGAAGAGAGATTTTACTGTAATATGGCTTGAGTCCTGTGATATGTGGGTTTGGGGATAGCTTTGGTTGGGTACAATAACAGATGCTGCAGACAGTATTGAATGCCACCCAGGGAGGTGGAGGAGTCACTGTGTGGGGAGGTTTTTAAGAAAAGGATTGATATCACATTGAATAACATGGCATAGTGGTATGGTGGTGATAGGTTGGACTGGATAGATGATCTTAGTGGTCTTTCCAATGTCAGCGACTCTTATCATAAGAAGTCTTTCTTTTGCAGTGTAGCAGTAATGCATAATAAAGGCAAAATTATTTGTTTGCATATGGTTATTACGTACTAGCAGATGGGAAGTGATTTTCCAACTTTCTTTTTTTTGGCCTTAAATCTGTCAGTGTTAACCCACTTGGTATGTTGGAAGATGGTGATTAAGGGAAAAATGATCAGTTTCTTACTGGCTCAGTAATTGGTGGCAAAGTGTTGGACGTAAAATTGTTCTTTTCTGAATAGTAAGTAGAGCTCAATCTACACAGAGATTGTAGAACTTTTTGAGAAATTACCTGAGGGATACATCCAGAATTGTCTTAAAATAACTAGTTTTGCTCTAGAGAAGGAAACTGGCTGTAAAAAGACCTTCTGAGCCTTTATTTTTCTAATCCTTTGCTAGATTTATGGCCTAAAGTTTTTACAGTGTTGTTCTTCTTAAAAGTGGGAGGTGCTTTGAATGCAGTGTGTTCAAAATCAGTGGGTTGTTTTGTTTTGTTTTGTTTTTTGAGCCTGACATGAAAAGGTTGTCAAAATAGGCTTTGGTGTAGCACAGTTCTACCATGCTAATGAAGATTTATTTGGAAAAGCCTCATCATTTTAACACTTGTGTTTAAGGATAGTTAATTTTGAAAGATATCTGTAAAGAGCTTGTTAATAGTCTTTTCTGAAGTCCTATTGGTAATATTAAAGAAATGATCAGGTAAATGCATGCCTTCTTCAAACTGATATTTGAGTCTACGGCCGTAGAATCATAGAATCATTAGGTTTGGAAAAGACCACTAAGACCATCCATACGATTTAACCATCAACCTATTGCCTCCATACCACTAACCACATCCCTCCGTGCCACATCCACACATTTCTTGAAAGCCTCTCAGCCATGTCCATTACTATAGGCAGAAAAAAGATTTCTCAGCATTAAAATTTGTAATGGCTGTCGGCTCACGTTTCTGCTTGCTCTTACTGGGAAGGCTTGGTTGCTCAGTTTTAGTTGAGCATATGGTCATCTTGGTCAAAATCATGTGTTTGTGGGTTTGTTTTGAAATAGTACTTAGGCTTAATTGTTTTCAGCCTTAAATTGTGGAGTTTGGTAACCAGATACCACATCTCTGGCGTTCCTTTCTACAAAAATCAAATGCTAGTATTTAAAGTGGAAACTGTAAAGAAAAGAACATGACTGTCGTTCAGTAGTGTGTCGTATCAAAGAGGGGAGATTGTGGCAGAATTCTAGGTAAATGTTGGGTTCAAAGAGCATGTGATCCTAGAAAACTGAAACGGCAGCAAGTGTAAATAGAGTGTAAACTTCTGAAGAACGAAAAGGCATCATCTCCAGTCGGCAATTTCCTGAGAATTGAAGTGTTTAAACAAAGAATTGGTTCCTATCTGTAGGCTCAGCAGCCTTAACTGGATGTGTATTTCAGAATGGGTCATAGAATTGTAGAATATCCCAAGTTGGCAGAGACCTGTAAGGATCACTGAGCCCGACTCGGTCTTTGCAGCTTGCACATGGGTGCAATATATACTGAACATTGTGCAAGGCAGATTTGAACGACACTGTTTCTTTCTATAGACTGAGTGTCACAAGCATCAAGTACTAGTGTCCACAAAGCACAAGTAGTGCTATGGCTAAGTGAAGGCTGGATGCCTGCTTGGCAGACTGGATGACTGTGGTGTTGCATCACTTCCAGTGGTGAAGTCCTGGAGAATATTTATGTACCAAAGAGTATTTTGTAAGGCTCAGAGTCATAATGTCTGCATCCTTCCTAGCTGCAGTACCTGCCATTCTGCTGCTCTAGTATAAGTTGCTCTAATACAGCTCAGTTTTGCAGAGGGGTGCTGTGCTGTGGGAGAAACCTTTGGCCGTGTGATAAATGTTTGTCCCACTGGTGCAGAATAATGTAACCTGCCTGGTGCAAGTTCTTGTTACCACTTCTGGTTTTGGAAAGCATTGAATTACTGTGTCTTTACATCTCATAAAGATATCCCTTGCTAGGAACAGAATTATACCTTTTTTTTTTTTCCCTGATGTCAAAAGCAGTTGGCGTATATTTGAAGTATTTTAAAAGAATCTCAACAAATGTTGAGAGAAAGATATGGCACGAAGTAATGTGAGTTTTTTTTATTTTCTCCTGCAACGTTTTAACTCAATTTGTCTCAGTTGAAACACATAAGTGTTTGGAAATAGTAACTTTCTAGTTAGCTTTTGCAAAGGTCTATATTTATACCATACGATGTGTATTCAATCATCACTTTTTAAGAAGGCCTCCATGAGTGTGTTACATGGGATTCAATAAGTACCTACCCAGTGCTAAAGTTCAGGAGCTCCATGGCAATGTGGCTCCACCTGTGGTGCTTTTACCCTCATTCATTCTTCCCTCAGGCCCACGGGATGAAGGCTTGGTGTAATCTTACTTAGGTAAGCAACTGGAAGAACAAGAATGGAGTTGAATTAATCGCAGCTATCTTATTTGGGTACTCTGCAGAACTGTGTGTGGTATGGAAAATGAAGGCTGACATAGCTTTTTAGGGGATAAGAATGCTGTAATCTTCTAATACCAAGTATTTGTATTACAGCATCCGCAGAGGAAATTCAAAACCTTTACTGTACAAAGGCATTAAATGGCACATTCAAATTCTATGCAAAAAACCATTTTCTGTGGTGTGCATGCTTACGTGGTAGGTGTGCTCCAGAGAATGGAGTAGCAGCAGCGAGGTGAATGAGATCTGAATTAACTGTGGGTGCAGCAAGATAAGAGTGAGGGTAATGAAGGAGCGGAATGAGAGCATCGCTTCAGCTTCAAATATTGAATAAACAAGAATTCTGAAACTCTTCAGTTTCTTTAAATGCAGTGCTGAGTGTTGCTAAAACACTATTCTGCACTAGAAAAATGTTTGCGTTTCTTAAAAAGCAGTGTTTTCTTGTAACAGCATTGACTTGAGGTTCTTGTATTGTAGTCAGTTAAGTTCTGTGACTTGACATGCAGCTGTGCCCTTGTTTGTGGTGTTCTTAATGCTGTTTCTCCTTCCTTTGTCTGCAGTGACACACAAATATGCCTGCTTAGACTGACTTCATCAGTAGGTAGAAAGTAGGGGCAGGGAGTGAAATTTAACCTGGAATTATTACCTTCTGCCCAGTTACTGATGATAGGGAGCTAAAGGTGCATGAATATGTAACTAAGGACCTTTGCTGTGGCTTAACACATAGTTACAGATACAGTTCTGTCAGTTACACACCCAGTGTTTTGTTTTAGAATTGCACATATGATACTGCATGAAAATAAAGTGAATCTGCAGATCCTTATTTTTTTTATTGGTTATTGAAGATGCTTTTTCAGTGGCACTAATGCTGCACTGCTCTGGCATGTGCTGTTGAAATGTTAGTGCTCCTCATCCTTCAGACTTCGGTTTTGTTTCTAGGTTGCACGTCTTGAACAAATCCCCGATGGTGACAATGAGACAATGATTCCTGTACTGTCCTCAAAAAAAGCAAGTGAATTGCCAGTTGATGAAGTTGCAAGCATTCTGCAAGTGAGTAATTGTTCATCTCTTAAAGCTGTGCTGATGTTACAAAACATTTGGCGTTTCTTAAGGACAGATCTTGCCACTGAAAGCCTGTGTGTTATCAAGCAGATTGATATTAATTGTTGTCCGTTTTTAAAAGTGCATTGATCTTTACATTGTTACTTCAGATGCTTTAATCTCCAATGTTTTTGAGGAAAATTGGTTATTGGAGTGGGGTGGAAGCTTGAAAATGTTTGGGCTTCTCAGTAGTTTGAAGATTGTGTTCTTGTTAAGAAATCTCTCCTAGAGTTTGGTTTGATTTTTTTTTTTTTTTCTTCCTGTAGATCTCTGTCCTGTTTTTCATAGCTATCACTTCTGTTTCTTCATGGAATTCTCAATGTCCTTAATATAATCTGCTAGCTTCCATTCTAAGAGGAGGAACGGGGTTGAGAAAGCTACCCATTGACAGATTTATGAACCATTGAATTTGGGTTAATTTTCTTGATAGATGATCTTTTTTCATCTCGGTGTGCTTGACTGCTTGAGGAGTACACCATAATAGATACTGCCCACAGACAACTCAAGACTTTGAAGCTATTGCTGTCATCTGGCCGAGTAGCCAAATTCCTGACATAATTCTCAAGAGTCTGAGCTGTGTCTACAGTTTGGATTGCTGATGAGTTTTATGCAGGGAAGATCAGCAGTCATTTAGAGATGTGCAACTGCAGATGCTGCTTTAGTTTGGTGAACTTTGTGTTGAATATTTTTTTTGTCAAATTTTATTTTAAAACTGTAGTTAGCTTTCATTGGCATACAAACAGCAGCACCAGATTTGTCTTCCTGATGGCCAAACTTTTATACTCTAAGGCCCTTTATTTAAGTGTTGAGATGTATTTTGAAGTCTGTCTTTATAGTGTAATTGCTGACTGTGTTATTCTTTGTGTATCTTAATAGGCTAATCTTCAGAATGGCTTGAAAAACTGTGAAGTGTGTCACAGACGGGCATTCCATGGATGGAATGAATTTGATATTAGTGAAGATGAACCTCTCTGGAAAAAATATATTTCCCAGGTTGAGATTTTTGTCTTTTCTGCTTTTTTGTTTTAATAGTTGGTCAGTAATTTTACACTTTATTCTGTAGCTTTCATGTACATGAATACATTCTGATAAAAGGGGGTAAAGTGAAGTTAGGTGAGGAATTGTCTTCCATACGTATTGAAAAAGCTTTCATTTGGGTGTAGAAATGAATGTTTAGATTACATGGTTTGTTCATGAATAAGTGTTTGCATCTAGCAGAAGGCTGCCAACTGTATCTAGCTTAAGGATTGGAGAAGAAAAAGTTCCTTATAGGCAATGGCTTGAGCATGAATTGCACTGAAATCAGGCACAGATGCGTGTAAATGGAATATGAAGTGTGAATAACTAGATGGGCAAAGGAAAATTTGAAAAAGCAAAGACATTGCTCATGAACTGGAGGTGTGGATGGAGTCAGCCTATTGATTTACTATAAATATGAGCCTGTCCAGCATCTCCAAATGGTGTGAAAGTGCCACTACTTTGCCAATATTTTGCTTCCCTTATTATGGCAAAGTTATTTAAAGCAGTTTCTCAAACAAGAGTTTTCTAAGGAATTTATGTTAAACATTTTGTTTGATGTTTCCTACAAGGTGTGTAAGCAGCAGTACATTTAAGTTCTAAAGTAGACCTTCAAGTAATGGATAATTAATTATGGGATTGGTGATAGGAGTGGGAGCATCTTTACATACTAGCTGTCTAATGCTTCATTTTTCCACCCATAGCTTCAATTAGATGCATCAGAATGCTTCTAAAGCATACTATCAAAGCCTGTTTTAGGTAGCATTTATTCAGATATGTACTTGCTTTGGATGTGCTTGTCATATGTGCTCTTGAATGTCCTCTGCTTCTATTGTAAGATTCACTTCTTTTGTAAGAGTTCTCTTGTTGACAGCGTTAGGAACGAGCTGTCGTGTAGACACAAGATCCTTTATTAATTTAGCCTTAGAAATCTGAAGAAAGCACGTGATCTAAAATGAAAGTTTGTATCTTGGAAAGCAAGAAGTCATGAATTGGAAATTCTGAAATTGCCTTGGTAATAATAAATTTCTGGGAACGGGATCTGCCTGTTGTTACCTCAAGAATGTTTTGAATATGTTTCAGGCTTTTTTGTATGTGTTTAAATGCAGTATAAACAAATAAGGAGATATTTTGACTTTGAAAATGTGGATCAAGAAATGTTTTTCTGTTGCCATTGAATATAGCCTGTTCAACGCCTTTGATATTTAAAACAACCAGCCCTCAAATAAAATCTGTACAGAGTCAATTCTTTTTAGATGTGTTTTCAGGTGTAGATAAAATAGTCTTTCTGTATGGACTATTGCTGAATTACTCTCTGTTTTGTTGCAGTTTAAAAATCCCCTTATTATGCTTCTCCTGGCATCTGCCGTCATCAGTGTTTTAATGCATCAGTTTGATGATGCTGTCAGTATCACTGTGGTAAGGAACTCAAATCTTATCTTCTGAAAAAATGCTTCTGAATGGGTGACCACTTTTACTTTGAACATCACATGAATGTTAATATGGGGCGGTATTTGACTGTAATTAATTAAGGTGATTTATCTATTTTTGCTTTTGGAGGGTCCTGGCATCTTGATGCACATAGACACAAACTGTGAAATGTTGATGTGAGCCTAGGGGAGCCAAACTGTGGCAGGTAGCATGAACTGAAGAAGGTGATGCTGCCTCCAAAAGAAGCATGTGTAACTCATGTAGTAATATTCAATGGAAAGAGGGAAAATATTTTTGTGTGTGTATATATATAGTTATTTACTAGTATTCCATTGCTAAGGCAGAGAGTGCTGCTGCGTTTATCTTTGATTTAGTTAAGAGTTCTAGAAGACTGTGTCTCTTTCAAAATGGTCATATTTAGTTTTTTAGTAATTACAAAGGGTGTACTTTTAAGATATGATTGTATCTTCAAAGGTACAGGCCAGCCAATAAGAAATGACTGTAACAACTCAATTTGAGTAACAAATTCAATTAGTTTAACAAAGCTCAATTAGAGACTGTATTGAGGGAGGAGGTCATACTTTAAACAAAATTGATCTTTCTCATTATCTAATAGACCTCATTCATTGACTCATTTTCACCCTGCCTGCGTACAGGCCCCGTGATGTTTACGTTGAAGTGTTGTGACCAGAGCTGTGTGTGATATGGGGGAAGGCTTACTGTGATGCCTTTCTATTCTTCCTGGATTATTCCTACAGGGAAATTTTGTTTTGCCTCCTTGTTGGGATCTTGACTGTTCAGGGTGTGGTCAGTGTATTGTCTTACTCCTTGGTAGTCTTGGGCAGACAAGTTGCTTCTACTTGTTCTCGTAATTTAGATATTTGATGGCTCCAGACCAGTTCCTCAGCTCACTACTTTATTTCTAGTCTTCAGTTTATTCTTAGTCTGTTATCTAGTTACTTGATTTAAACCAGACCTGATGCTTTATGACAAGTAACATGGCAGTGAATACTTCAGTCAGACATTTTTTTTACTATTTGTGTTATGGAACTCCCTCCACTGCTACGTCTTGCTCACCTTTTAGAAACACACAACAGTTTACCTCCCAAGCACTGGAACTTTTACTTGAAAGTCACCATCTAGTTGTCAGTGTTATTTTTAGTAATACCAGCTTACCAAGGCACATGAATGCCACTGAATAGGCATAAATAGACAATGGCGTTGCTTTTTTTTAGCAGGCCTGGAGGTTAGCCAGTCATTTTGAGCATGAGAGTCTGTTTCCAAACCATATTGCTGATGTGTAGTAATAACTATGGCTGGGCAGAAGCAAATATCACTTACTTTCATCGCCGTTTGGAATTCTCTTATCTGTTTTTGTTTTCTTACAGGCGATACTGATTGTTGTTACAGTTGCCTTTGTTCAGGTAAGACATCTGTTGTACAGATGAGATTATTGCTTTTATGTATGCTCTTATATTTAATAAGTAGCTGTCCTGATGCAATGTGCAGCTGCACAGTGCTTGATTAAAGAGCTCTGTGCTTTCATCCAAGTCTTTTGCCTTCTCTGAAGTGCTTGATTTGTTCTACTTTAACATTTTATGCATCTATATGGCTATTGTAATCAGCAACAAAAGAATGAGTGTAAAGAAACATTCAGATTAAACAGTGTTGAAGTACTTTAAAATATTAAATTTCATAGAAAATGTATTTTAAATGTATCACTCTGGCTGCAATTTTATATGGAATTTTACCCCCCAACTCTTTTAAATTGTTTCCTAAATAATAAAAAAAAGTTGGTTTCATTCTTTAAATACCCAGCTTTACTTAGCGTGTGCCTAAGGCAAAATAGCTTTCTGTTTGTGCTTCGTATCATTGTTTATTTTCTAACCTGTGAATTGAGTTAGAGGTGAGTTGTATTACCTTACTTCTCCAGGGGTTAAGAACATGAACACAGTATTTTTGGTACAACTTTACTAAACTGTAGAACGTGATTGTGTGTCTGATCCCTGAGTTTAGAAACATTACCATTAAGTATTACAAAGCCCTGAAAGTATTAAAGGAGAATGCAAAGGACCTCTTCTAGTCTTTCAGAAAAATTGGATGTAGTTACATTCTTCAATCTGAAATTTTAGCATTTGGACCATGTTTGCTTTTTAAAGTCTATCTAACAAGGAACTGCTGAAGGGCATATCTTAACTAAGCCTCCGTAAAATTGTCCTAAAACAGCTTTTAAAATGAGGTATGCCCACATCTGATGAACTGTCTGTCTTGCCTCTGCAGGAGTACCGATCAGAAAAATCTCTTGAAGAGCTTAGTAAACTTGTGCCTCCAGAATGCCATTGGTATGGAATCATTACGTCCTCCCTCTCAAATTAAGTCATGTTAAGTTTAATGTGAAATGAGTAGAATAAAAATGCTTTACTTAAAACATCTTTATAGCAAGCCATTGTGATTTTAAAGAACATAATTTGCTTTGAGTCGTTTTAAAGATTGTTGTATGGTTCTAAAATAATACTCTGCATTTTTTCCCATTGGATGCTTCAGATGATGTTAAGTGATACAAACCTTCTGAAGAAAAGTTGAAATTGTATTTTGCTGAAACTAGTAACACTTCAGTGCATGGTCAGCACTTTGATGAGATGTTGCTATGTGCTTTGACCTTGTATTTACACCCGCAGTGTGCGAGAAGGTAGAGTGGAACACACGCTTGCGAGAGACTTAGTCCCAGGTGATACAGTCTGCCTGTCTGTTGGAGACAGAGTCCCGGCTGATCTGCGTTTATTTGAGGTATGTGATATTGCATTTATATTTAATAGCATTTCTTTTTGTGAGACAGAGAGTAAGAGAAGATGTGCACTGAATACTGAGCTGCAGTAAGTATTTTTGTTTGGAATTCACAGCTAGTTGGATTGAATTGTGAAATAATTAAGCTCGCAAATGTCGTTGTGCATTGAGTATATGTTCTTTTTGGTTGTGGAAAATAGGATTTTCTGACTTCATGTATGTAATCCATTCTTGAAAACTTTAGCATTCAGAAAAAGTATTCAACTAAGCAAGCGAAAGAGTTGTTTCAGTCTGAATTATAAGATATTTTGGCAGCTGTTAGCTACTGATTTTTTTGTCTCTATTTACACTGGTCTTTAGGATATAATCTTGGTGTTCACTACACACTGTGATGTTTCAATGCTCTGTTTATAGCACTGAAAGTGTGTAGGTGATGTGTTTGAACGTACTTTGTGCTTTCTCTAAGAGATCTTTGGCTGGGGTGCTGTTCATAGAAAAGGGGATTAGCCCAAATCAAGATAGATGTGCACCAAACTACTAGAGAATGACAAAAACTTTTGGCCACGGTAACACAAATCAAGTCTGTACTATTTACACAACTTGGTAAGACCTTAATTTATGCTGTTATGTCTTTTTTTTTTTTTTTGCTCCATTCATTATACGCAGTTTAATCAGTAAATGAGATTTCACCCACCTTTAGCCTTGTGCCTGTTTCTTGGTCACTCTTATGCCTAATCTCTCTGTAGATGGAGAAAAAGCCTAGGAAGATTACTTGGCAAAAATATAACATCCTGCCAGTCTCTCTTGTATGTGGCCTAGTTTCTTCTTTCCCTACAGTTGTAGAGCTCCTCTTCATTGCTGAAAAAAGATGAACAATCAGTAGAATGTGAGCATTAATTTTTTTTTTTTTTTTTTTAGAGCGTAGATCAGTTTCGAGTCCTTGATACAAGGAAGTATGAATAATATATATAATCATAAAATATTTTGGCATTTCTGATGAATATGGCCTTGGAAATCACTTGCTTACTATTTAAGACCCCTTTCTCTCTAGCTGGAGTTGGGTAGAAAGTGATCCAAATAAGGATTAACTGGAAGATGTATTTTTTTTTTTGTATAAGTAAGTACTGTCATGTGCACCTATTTTTATAAAATTGTAAAAAAATATCTTCACAATCTTACTGTAATGGTAAGTTCTGCTTTCTACATTTCTTATTTAAGGACCTGCAAGCCAGAAGTTGTTACATGAAAATAAGGTATTTGGACAAAGAAAGCAAGAATGTAGTTCTACTGTTAACTGTACTAGAGTTACTGCAGGATTACTGTTTTACTGTGTTAATGGGATGTTAGGTTCTTCCATGAAAATATCCTAAAGAAATTGCCTCAAAGATGCAAGTGCTTGGATGAAATCTAACATTTTGATTGTCCTTGTGTTGGAAGCTGGTATCACATGAATAAAGTAAACAATGGCAAGTAAAACTTTGTAAAGATAGAGGAATGAAATCTTCAAAATAATGACTCATAACCCTGGGCTAAATTTAATGATTGTAGAATAAATTATGGTGTCTTCCATGCTTCCATGGGTCAGTGATTGAGATTTTTTACATTTTCTTTTGCTAAAGCTTTTTATTTCCTTTTCTTTTTTTTTTTTTCCTCCTGAATATGGTGACTAATGGAATTAGCTATTCCTCAGTGTCAATTGTTTTGGAAGAATCATCTTGTCCCAGTGGGCATTGCTAGGGGACGGGTGACTAGAGGGAAGTTGTCTTTTCAGATAAAGAATGCAATTGCTACAGCATGTTCTCATGGATGCTGTCCTAGAAATTTGTAGAAGCGCTATTTAGGTGCTGTTTACTTTGCAAAGAAATTTCTTTGCTGGGCTAATCTTGTGGGGCTATCTTATTTTTCAAGCTGTTATTTGAAGAGCACTTCTGGCCTAAGTTTTCTGCAGGTTAATGAGACATCCGTCAAGTTTTCTAACAAGAACTGACGTGACTGTAACACCGTTGGCTTTGAACAAAATTAAATTTGGTGGAGATGACAAATAATTCAGAGCTCATGGATAAATCTGAACGGTAGCACTGTGGTAACTTCATCTTGTTCAATCTTGCAGTCTGAGGAATACAATGCAAATAAAGCGTTACTGTAGGACTGTTTCTAATTGTTTTTTATTGCTTTGATTGGAAGATTCAGTTTTTGACAAGTGCCACTTTCCTTTATTGATTCAGCATCCATCTTTTAAAAATGGGTACTGTCCTTGTAGCTACTTAAGAGAATAGCAGAAATTAGGGGGATTTGACTCTTCATAAAGCACTTTAGGAAAAGTACAGTTCTCTTCTTCACATTGACCAAATTATTTTGGCTCTAGTAGCGTTTTGTTGTCCAGCTAGAACTGGAGAGTTTCCAAGTTAACCCAAAATAAAGCCCTCACCCCCCCCGAAAAACCAAACCTAAAATACTCTTTAACCTCAGAATGATGTGTCACGTGTGGTGGTACCAAGTATGGTGTGACTGATTCTTACTTACTCTTTGCAAGGGATTTCCTTTCAAAGAGATTTTCTCTTTTCCTTCTCTAACTGCTCACACTTGCTGCCAAAAATCCCACAAAAGTGGGAAACCTGAAGGAAGGACATCTTTAACATTTTTCCAGTTTATTGTGACTCTTGCCTGAATAGCATTTTCTCTGTAGGGACTTTGTGGACAAAAAAAACCCTTTCTAAAGTGTATTTTTTTCTTGTTGTGTTCCTAATCGGCCACGCTAAGAGGAACTGGACAGAGGAAGAATTGAGAGGGATATAATATGTCTATGTATTTGCATTCCCAGTTATTTTGTTTGCCAAATGGAATGCATCTGTTACAAGCTCTTGACTGTTTTATAGAAAAAGTCCAGAACATAAAATGAGGAGTAAGCATTGACTTTGCAAAGTGAGAGCATCGCTGCAACGTTCTGTAGGAATGCTTGCTGCTTTGTTGGCTTTAAAATAGAGTGGATATTGGCATATAATTTCTTCCATGTGAATAAATTGGATATATTTTTAATGGTCAGAGTTGGGAAGTTTTTATTACCATTTCTAGCTACTTATAAAAGTTGATTGCCATGGCTCTTAGCAGTCTGTCTATTTTTCCAAAGGCTGTGGACCTTTCTATCGATGAATCCAGCCTCACAGGTGAGACGGCTCCCTGTGCTAAATCTACAGCTCCTCAGCCAGCAGCTACCAATGGAGACCTCACTTCAAGGAGCAACATTGCTTTCATGGGAACCTTGGTCAGATGTGGAAAAGCAAAGGTAAAATTATGAGTGATAGGGAAGAATAACTTCCAAGTTTTAACTATTTGAATAACCCCGGTTCTTGTTTTTAATGCTCACTTACCAGTTGATAACTGGCTGCATGTATTTTCATTTTTCTAAAACAGGAATGAAATGGAGTAGAAATAGAAATGTTTACTGGAAATATGTGTGACTTTACTGTAACACAGTGCAGAGCTGTTCTCAATGGTGCTTTTTCAGAGACTGAAAGTAAACCTATAGTCAAGAGTATTCAAATTGAGAGGAAGCAGATGTGAAACTGTTCTGTCTAGGATGTGGTATTCCCAAACTTGTAGAACTGCATTTGTGTGTTAGAGCATGAAGATCTGTGGTTGTGGTTGGTGTTAGCTGAGCGTTGCACTGTTTGTTAACTATCTGTAACTAAACCTAAATAGTTCAGCAGTACTCAGAATAGCACTTTGTTTCTGAGAGTTGAAATATTTTTTTTTTTAACAAAAATTCTTCTCATTTGTATCAGTAGTTAAAATTACACAGTTAACAAAATCATAGCAGACTAAATGGCATTTGCCCAGTGTTTGAGTCAGAGCTATCAAGAACAATCACTAATGTTAAAATGAAACTTTAGAACTGAATTGACTTTTTTATTTATTTGGGTTTTTTAGGGCATTGTTATTGGAACAGGAGAAAACTCTGAATTCGGGGAGGTTTTCAAAATGATGCAAGCAGAAGAGGTAAGAGTGAATATCTAGAAACATGGGTGTGTATTTTAGAGACGTATATTTTATTCATTAAAATTATACTTTGGGGGTTTATTCTATAGGAACTTTGTTAGATTTGATTGCAGTGCTTTTCATGTTCTTCTCTAGTTAAAACAAATCTTAGCTCTTGAACATGAAAGCAATAATTGAATTCAGTGTAACACATTATCCCTAAGTGACCTAAATATGTTATCTTTGAAAATAATATTTGAAAGCTTTTTAAGAATGGAACAACTTCTACTGCATTTAGCACAAGTGTGTTTTTCAAGTGAAGCTGAGTTTGTACAGAAGGGATTTGTATGGCAGATTTGTGCACAGGACTATGTTTCCCATCAAAGTTTGTACCATGTACTTTAGGGTTGTGTGCGTTTTCTGCTGCTTCATAATCTCTAGCTTATCCTCCTAAAGTTACGAAGCTTGCTTCGACTTCAGTGTACCAAATTCCTGTAGTGACTTTCTTTATTGCAGCACTCTGCTCCACACAGAAGTCAGTTTCTTGAGTGCTTTGTGTTCCTGTGGCCTTCTAACCTCTTCTCTGGCTGCCTGACCAGCACAGGGTCGGAAGGTGACAGTCTGTCTCCAGCTGTCAGGACACAATCAGGCACAGTATAGGCAGCACTTTTTTTCCCCTCCTGAATTACATTTCTGAAATGTGTCAAAACAGAGCTTCTGAGGCTATTAGGTGGGGCATTAGATGTGTCAGCCAGGAATGCACCACTGACCTCGTGTTGTTAGCTGCAGTGCCTTACTATGCCACTCAAGGGAATACTGCTGTCCAGTCACCCAAAGTGGAATCTGCTTTATTACACATGCAAGGAAAACATGATCCATTCCATGGGTTTTAGTTTGTATGGTAATATTTGCAATTATTAATGAAAAAAAAAGGTATGTGAGCATTCTACACCATCAATATTCTGAAATGTCAGAGTACTTTGGGATTATTTTTGATGTTTATTTTATAATAATCTTACTTTAAAAGCAAATTTTGATGGTAAAAGTGAATTAAACTATTAAGTCAGGTTCCCTACATAGCGTGGGCACTGTTTTGCCTTGACTTGTGCAGCAGAGATTTTTACAATTAACCTGTTTCCCTCCTATTGCCACACTTTCCATACTGTAATCCAGCATATATTAGTATTTTTAAAAAAAGAGCAACAAAGAAAACCACAAAACAAACTAAATGGCATCCAGTGTAAAAATCTCCTTTCCTGATATATATTGATATATAATGTTTTGGGTTTTTTTTTTTCCTTTGATATCCTGTTTATCTTTGGCACTAAATACTCATATGGTTTCCTATTTGTCTATTTTTGAAACTAGTTAGCAAATTCTTCCTGAGGTAGAATTGGTCGTTCAGGGCTTTAATGTTTCTGCCTCCAAAAGTCTGTTTTGTTCTTGTTATGAAGGTCTTTTATGTCTGGAAGAAATGTGGTTGATTTTGGTTAACCTTGCTTTTTTGCAAAGTCTTTGATACGAATTTTTATATTAGATTTGCTGTAAACATCACAAAACTCCTACAGGGTATTTCTAAATTTCACTTAGTTTCCTTGAACTGTTCTTCAAATTCATTGAATTCTACATGATGAACAAAGTAGCCTGTCTTTTCATTCAGTGAATGTGTGGAAAAATGCTATATAGCTGCATCTTAGTCAAGTAGTTTCCAAGATAACATCTTGAAATTTGCACAGCTGAAGAAATATTTGATATAGATTATACTTTTTAACTTGTTCTTGTTAACTGTTGGATGTTTGTTGTTCACCAAGGCTCCAAAGACACCGTTGCAGAAGAGCATGGATCTCTTAGGAAAACAGCTTTCTTTGTATTCCTTTGGTATAATAGGTAAGAAAATCTATGCAAACACCTACAGTTTACTTTGTGACTGACCTATGGGCCTGCTAAGACTGAGGGACTTGATCTTTTTTGTATTCTCCACTTTTTAATGAGTTCATTAATTAATGAGCAAGTAATTGTCTGAAGATTAATAATGTCAGTTTCATCATAAGGGTGTTTCCTTGCTTCTTCGCACAAACATGGTTTTCTATCTTCTAAATGCTACCTTTCAAATTGCAGCATGTCTTACATTCTAATTCAAGGTGTGCAGAAGTGAGCACCTCACTGCAGGTCTGATTGGGCTACTTGACTGGCGAAAACTTTCTTCATCTTTGTCATAATAATGGAGTCATGTTCAGCAGTGAAGGAAGTAACAGATTTTTTTTAAGAGTTCTTTTTCCTGTTAGGCTATAGTACACGATGGCTTTGTATTTATTATGACAGCTATTTTCTTTGTAGGAGTTATTATGCTGGTTGGCTGGTTGCAAGGAAAACATATCCTTGATATGTTCACAATTGGCGTGAGGTAAGATTTTTGTCTTTAAACAGTGTAGGTTGTGTTTGAAAGCTTTTGATGTATATTAAAATGTATGTCCTCACAGATTCTGTTTTTAAGTTTAGATAAGTAATAGACTTTGTGCTGCAAAAAAGGAAGCTAATAATTCTTAGTGATATGGTAACTATGTGTCCATCTCCTCATATCCGTGTACATGTGTGGTGATTTCTGAGTTTATTGGAACATCCATAAATAGGCAATAAGCAGTGACAGAAATTCAAATTGTACAACTGAGTAAATAAAATACAGTTTTGTAAGTAATAAAATGAAGTGAATGCCAGCCTTGTACCATGTACTTCTTCAGTTAATTTTTAGCACGTTATGGAAACTTCATCCTAGGATACTGTTTGCTGAGAATTAACACAGTTTGTATGCTCTAATTCTCTACTCTCAGAAAAGTTGCTGAGTTGCTAATTACCTGGATGGTGTGCAAGGCAGAAGAGTTTCTTTAAATAACAGAAAGCACTTATTTAAATAACAGGATCTATGGAGATTTAATGTTTGGTTTTTCGTTGTTGTTGTTTTAAATAAAAAGGGTCAACAAAAACTTCAAGCAACTTCAAGCATTGTGTGAAATATTGCGATCTCATTTACACTACTGTCAACTGTTTTTAATTTTTTTAACAAAATTCTGTGCTATTCCAACACTTGTCGTGCTGCCATAGTGCAATCTGCAAGTGGAAGCTGTGGATCACTGGGCTCTAGAAGTGGTGACCTTTTTCCAGTTCTCTCCAGTGCTGACTCTTCACATCCTGGGCTGCTTTTCAGAAAACTAGTTTTCTAAATCCAAAACAGATGCACAATTCCCCTTCCCCCCCACCCCCCAAAACTACGTTTGCTTGAGTCAAAGCATCTAAGCCATTGCATGTTGTTACTGTCTTCAAAGTGTGCCTTAATGAGTGGTATATGGTTAGAATTAAATGACAGCTGGTTCCTTTTGCTTTTAGCTTCCACTAACAGATAGCTGTAGGAGCACCGTTCTCAGCTGTAAATACATCATTACTGTGTGTTTACCTGTGACATTCTAAGACAAGGTATTTGTGTGTTTGTTTTGTTACAGTTTGGCTGTAGCTGCAATTCCTGAAGGACTCCCAATTGTAGTAACAGTGACACTGGCCCTTGGTGTGATGAGAATGGTGAAGAAACGGGCTATTGTAAAGAAACTGCCTATTGTTGAAACTTTAGGTATGACAGGACTAGCTCTGAGATGGTATTTTGACATAAATCTTAGGAAATCAACTGGAATGTTAATGGCCAATGGTAAAAATAAAGCAAGTGTTCTTATTTGCTGGCAGTATGGTGGTATCATTTCTAAACTGAATGCCTTTTACATGAGTTGTGTGCCCTACGACCACTCAGTGTTTTAATTACAGCTGTCAGCTCATTGATTAATTGCATGTCAAACTAATGACATTCAGTATTCAAACCTGCATGTGTAGTTTGATGTATGGAGAACTCTTAGTTCGTGGTAGAACAGTGAAAGTATTTCAGTGGAAGTATTTTTAGTTTGCTCAAAGATGTTCCTGTCAAATAGCAGACTTGGGAAATGATTTTTAAACCAACTTCTTGGCAGGAATTTGGGAATGTTATTTTCAGCTGGAAGCAAATCCATGTTTAAATATTAGAAAAAATGTTATAATAATGCACCTTAAGGTCGTTATAGTGTTCATGCTAAAACTTAAGCTTTCGTCTTTTAAAATGACTTTAGAAACATTTTGTGTGTGTGGCCTCAGTCATGAAACATCATGCATAGGACATGGAAATGAAATAGAAATAGGTTTTGGGTAATTCTGCTGCATTTTAATTTTTCCTTTGAAGATTGGAAACACTTCTTTTCCTAATGCCTTAGCAGAGTTTCATGAGCATTGCAGGGTTTTTTGTGGCTTTTGCAAGTCTGGCTTTTGGGTCCAGGAAGGCCAAAACACTGCAACGCTCTTTCAAAATACTTTTCCTGAGTTAAAACAGCATGTACGTATTTCCACATTTCTGTAACTATTTTCAGCCTCATTAAAAATTGCTGCTTTAGTAGTACGTCACACCTTAGCTGGGAAATGATGCTGCTAGGAGTATCAATTGAAATTTCAGTAATAGTTTGAGATGCACTGGAGGAAAATTAAGGACTTAATGAATGGAAGCACTTGAGGCAACTTGTGAATTTGGGATTTTGACTACCTTTTTTGATTTATCAGGCAAACCTGTAAGGAACCTTGTACACATATTCATAAATAGTTGAAAATTGCCTGTCGTTGAATCACATCTTGTTGGGTTTTTTTTCTTCATAGATACAGGTGCAGTATTTCTAGAAATTTGTTCTTGTTAGCAACTCACTTATTCTAAATAGGCCTTGTCTTACAAGTGCTATTTGGTTATTTTAGGATGTTGCAATGTAATTTGTTCGGATAAAACTGGGACTCTGACAAAGAATGAGATGACGGTTACTCACATTTTTACATCAGATGGGCAGCATGCTGAGGTATGTAGTGAGACTGTTAGACTTAAATTTTGCTTCTACTTCACTGCATTTATCAGCTCAAATGCTCTTGATTATATTGCTTGTAAAGCATTAATTAGAGTAGTGTAAATTTGTATCAAATCTTAGTTCCTTGATTTCAGGCTAATTCTGTTCTTTCGTTCATTTAGTATCTCCAACTTGAAGCTGTATTATCCAAGCATTCTGTAATTACAGAAGGGTTTAGATTTGTTTTCTTTCTTGTATAATATATAAGGTTTTTAATCTCTTGATGGCTGTATGTCATAATGAAAGATGCTGAGATGCAGTACAGAGATCTGATGTTATTCTTTAGTATGTTTTGCTGCTGCAGGTGCATAAAAAATGAAATTTAAACATTAAGAACGTTTAAAATAGGAGGAGTATCCGGATTTGGGCTAAAAGCTTATGTATTGTGTAAACCCTTCAAAATGAATGTACTGTCAGAATTGCTTTTTGATGATGAGTGGAGCTTAAAGTAGGAAGAGGACACGAAACAGTGGTTGAGGTGAAGCAGTCACTACAAAGGTTGAAGTGAATTCCCAAAAGGGAAGCAAAAGCATAGGAATGGAAAGGGATGCAACTGTATGTGATTTCATGAGAGCATGTTTCAAACAAGTTCTAAACTTTTCAGGTTCCTCATGTTTAGGGTTTTATTAACACTGTAGTTAATGGGGAGACCTTGTCACTAACTTTTATGAGAATAAATACTGGATATTTTTAATTCTTTGTGTTACATACCTGTGTTTGCCTGGTACTTAGTTTCCATTCTTAAAATTTTGTAGGAATGCTGTAATTACTTTTTTTTCTTTATTCCTAGCATAATTTGTTTATAGTGCTATTAAATCATTTCCCTTTTCCTGAGGGAAAGAGAATTTGAAGTAGCTGTTAAACATGCTACCTATTAATGCTGTAGACCTGAAGACTTTTTGGGATTCTAGCTGGATGCCCACATTTTATGCATTAAAAATATGATTTTACTGTTTTTAACACTTCTCAAGTCTCAGCTGAGAGGCCATTCAAGTATGATTTTCTTCCTGCATCATGAAAGTAGGACTCAGCTGCATATTTCCATTCCCCTGCAGGGGTATGCATTGTTAACCAGGGTAAAGGAGAAAGGGAGGAAAAAATTAGAAAGCAGAAGAAAGAAGAAGGAGGAGGGGAAAAAAATGTCCTAATTGAGTAAGGAGACAACATACACTGCATTTATTTATGCTAAGGAACAAAATTGCTACATTTTTGAAAATTAGCATCCGGTGTATTTCATGGAAGAATTTAGTTGCCCTCAGAATTTTTTTCCCTGATCTAATGCCTGCTACATTAGATACTTAATAGGAGAGACTCCATATTGGGTAAAATCCATCAGAATGAATGGCTTTGGTTTTAGTTTTCTGTATTGAAAATCTGGGATTAATGTAATTTTTACTGGGTTCACAAACCGTTTTATCTACTGGCTCTTTGTCTTACAGGTTACCGGGGTAGGTTATAACAGGTTTGGAGATGTGATGCTTGATGGTGAAGTTATTCATGGTTATAACAACCCATCTGTTAGCAAAATTGTTGAGGTGAGATGTTGGTAAAGAGGTGACTTTTAGTTGATGCTGGAGTAAGAACTGTACACAACATTTATGCTGTGTTGTCTTTTCTCCCCATTTCTTCATCATCTTTTAGGCTGGCTGTGTCTGCAATGATGCTCTGATAAGAAACAACACCTTAATGGGGAAGCCAACTGAAGGGGCTTTAATTGCACTTGCAATGAAGGTGGGTGTTTGGTAATTTTTGATTTGTGGCAGGTGTGTAGAAATAAAGGTGTTGTTTTCATCGATTTTCCCTTCGTTTTTGACTACTAGATTTGCATTACAACTGCTAATCTCCTGTGCTTCTTATCTGCTGGAAATCTTTGGGCATTCTGAAAGATAATAGGAAGTTAAGTTATTTGGAACTGAAGTAAAATCTCTGTCATCTTTCTGCATGCAGTACTATCATTTTGCCCACCAGAGGCTAAAACTGTTGAGTGTTGATTGTGTCATCAGAACCTGATGATGGACACATTGGTGTCTGTAGTATTTGCAGTGCTTTTAAGTGCTGGGAGCAAGCAGTTTGAATTGTGAATGCTGATTAAATGTTATTTTTATGCTATGACATGTGCTGTACCTTCTGGAAGTGTGGCAAGACATTTTAGTACCTGTTTTTTTCTGTGATGATGAATAAACTCAGAAACGTTGGAAGCTGAGTACGTCCCAGTCGTTTTCTCCCCATGCAACTGAAGACTGAGATTTATCACCTTGCTGAGATTCATTCCAGTTCTCCAGTCTGGAAAGGACTAATGGAATGTTGTTATGGCAAGACCCTAAAGAAAGAGAGAAGAAGAGAGATGTTTCACATCTGTTGCTGGAATGGGTGGTAGTGAAAGAGTTGTGAGGCTGTGTAAATACTGAGAATGGGTTATGGCAGGTGGCCGCTTTAATCAGCACTCAGACTTGGTTAAGGGTAGAGCATGGAATTCTGTGAGTTGCATTTTGTGGGAAGAATGAAATGCGTTTTGTCTGAAGTCTTTCTGGTTAGTTTCCTTCTAAATGTTTGGGGGATATTGATGATAATTTTTGAAAAATCCTTTCAGATTGGATCATTTGAACTTTAGATGACTGTCTTGCCTTCTCCCAGCTCTGCTACAGCCTTGTATAATAATTTTCTAGACCCTTCTAGCAGAGAAATTATATAGATATTTAAAAAAAAAATGCATTGCTGTTTTAAATGTGTTTTGTCGAACACATAATCTGCAAGGTTTTTCAGAGTCCTTGAATCAAAGAAAACATAGAAAGTTCTAACTTACGCTGAAGCCTGAAGGAAGCTGCTGGATTCATTGAGGGCTTGTTTTCAGAAGTTTGTCTAATGAGAGCAGTGTGCTGATGAGCAACTTTGGAGATTTTTTTTCTTGTTGTTAACTGACAAGTCAAAACAAAATGCTTAGCTATTTGGAAAAGAAAGGTGCTGACATTATGGTGCTTTTTCTATCTTATACAGATGGGTTTAGACGGGCTCCAGGAGGACTATATAAGGAAGGCTGAATATCCCTTCAGCTCAGAGCAGAAATGGATGGCAGTTAAATGTGTTCACAGAACACAGCAGGTAAACTGGATTCACAGCTTCCTTGAGCACTGGCTCTGTAGAACCATTACATACTCTATTTAACGTCCTCATTTTTCACTTGAGAGATTGTGGCAAGCTGGTGGTAATGTGCAATCCTGGGAGTATGGTTTGATTATCTAATTTCAGTTTCAAGCTCTGAAATGGAAAATAAGAAGGCCAAGAAATTCTTTCCATAAAGGCATATTGAGAAATAATGCGAAGTATTTTGATATCTGAGACTTGGAATGTATCTGGCTTTTCTTTCTTCTCCGTACTCATCAAAGATTTAAAACAAATCTGTCAAACTTCTGCTGTTTCAGTTACATGAAGAATTAAGAGCAAGAAGAAACGTGTAGGTGTTGAATAATCAAGAATTTATTTTGTTTGAAAACATAGGTCTTCTGGTTTTAATGGCATTAGCACATTCATTTCTCAGTGTTCACAAATTCTATTTATGTTAGTAGTGTGGATTATCAATATAAGCCATTCTTTAACCAATTTCTCCATCTTTTGAAAAATACGTATGTATTTGCATTCAGATTGGTCTAAATGAAATATGAATAGTTTTGTTAACAATGTTGACATAATGAATGCCAGTCTGATAACTGGAGTCTTCTAGATAACATGTTCAATGACAGATCTTACTCTGGATTTATGGAAAATTTCGCAGTGTTTCTGACTAAAAAAAAGTCTTCAATAGCATTAAGTATTGCAGTAAAATCTGTGCTTTGGTAACTATGCATTTGGCCCCTTTTCTCTGTGTGGAAGATGAGGTCATATAATCCATGTCTGTACAGAAACTAGTGAGCAGGAATTGCTAGGTGATGTTTTTCCTATATGATTTACTGTGTCTGATGTGTTTTGGTATTAGCATTTTTAAAAGATTGTTGAAAAATTGGAAACAATTTTAAAAGGAGCATAAATTATTTGAAGGCTAAGAAAATGCAGTAGAATTAGAGCTCTGTCAGTTAAGCCTATCAGAAAAATTGAACTGTCTTGACTACTGTGCATAAACACCTTCAAGGGGAGAAAATAAGTGTATTAAAAGAGCCTTTATAGCACAACAGGGAACAGAAGATGAGAATCAGTGATTGGAAATTGAGCTGAGGCAGCAGTTCTTAATGGAGAGGGAAGGAAGGGAAATGATAAGTTGATTTAACGTTGGAATAAGTGTTCAAGATAGGCAGTGAATTTGCAGTCCCTTTGTACCAGCGAGGCTAGCTTGCTTTCTGGAAAATGCTAGAGCTGTTATTTGTGGTATGGGGATGAAGGTGATATACTTAATGACCTGTAGAGAAAGACAGATGGTCAGGTGATGAGCTAGAGGTCTTTCAGGTCTAATATACTGTATAGGTTTGAATGCTGTCCTTTGAACGGCCTCTTTGGTTTATAAACTGTGACCCCACAATACATCATGTGAATGATGTTTACTGAAATAATAAGATATTGATTATTAGCTTAGCTATTTTGGTGTTAACACTCTTAAACATATACTTTATGCAGATACTTCAAACTTTTTGGGGTTCAGAAGTGTAACTTTCATTTGCATTACATGTTCTGAAGACTTTTCAGAAAAGTATAGATAAAACATTCTTACAGATGTGCATGTATATATATTTGTATATGCATACACGCATATTTTCATAATTCCTTTCTATTTTAGGACAAACCAGAGGTTTGCTTCATGAAAGGTGCTTACGAACAAGTCATTAGGTATTGTACATCATATAACTGTAAGGGGCAGACCCTTCCTCTTGTTCAGCAACAGAGAGAGCAGTACCAGCAAGAGAAGACATCTATGGGCTCTGCAGGACTTAGGGGTAAGAGTGTTTCAGTGTCTAGAGATAATTATTTTTTGAATGGTACTGCTTGCTTGTTCAAATTAAAATAATATGCAGATACAAGATTTTTTGTTGTTGTTCAAGAAGTGCCACTGTGTTGGTTAATTTTTCATTAAAATGGAGAAGTGGAATGCAGGTGATGTACTTAAGGTCTGCATAACAACACTGATTAAATTCCAGCAGGTGAGAAAAGGAACTGCTGGTTGCAACCATAACAAGTGAAAAACACATTGTCACTTGGCATCTTCCATATCTCATCATAGATTTTTTTTTTAAAATTTATTTTTAATACGAGTGTGTTCATTTTTCTCTTTGATTCCTGGCATCTTTATGAGTTAGGCTAGCATAAGTGATTGATTGCAAGTGAGAAGATGCCATTAAGATTACATTTTATATTAGCAGACTGTTAGATTTTTAAATATAGCTGCAAGTATTTTTCAGAAGATGATTGATTAGAGGTGGTTGTGGGCAAACCATTATGTGGGACGCCATAACTGTCTTTGATTCTGTAAAGAGACTTGCAGGTTGTTAATTCCATTCAGATGTTTTAAATGAGGCAGCATGGGTACTTCATGGCACAGGAAAGCCCTATGATACAAATGATTGGAAACTGAGAGGTTTTACAAGGAGTAATGGTATCTCTTTGTGCCTGTTTTCTTCAGATTCCTACTGTAAAAAAGACATTCCAGAAAATATTTGGCATGTAGTCAATAAAATCTGCCTCTATTTAAATAAATAAAATTTATTTTTATTTTCTGGTTTTTTTTTTTTGTTTTTAACCAATCTTCCCTTTGTCATCTTGTATAAAAGACCATCTGTGTACAGAGAAACCACCAAAGCTAGATGCCTTTTTCCTCTCCACATACTGAAAGCAAAAATGTTTTAAGCCGTGAATAAATGGGAAAGATTTCTTGAAAACTTGAAAAACCTGTGTTTGATAAAGACTTCTGTGTACTACGGCAACAGACATTGCTACCAGTGTGTAAGAAGAAATAGCAATCCCTATCTGTTACTTTATTCTAACTTACAAATTCAATTAGGTCTGATTTGTGAACATGTACTTTTGTCGGGTTAACTTCAAGTGGAATACTCAGATGAATGAAGCTACTCATAAAGGTTTTCAGCACTGAAGCCTTTGGTTAATATAGTTAGGTGCTACTTAGTTTTAATTTTGGAAAACAAATATTAGCAGTTGTTTTAGATGTTGGTGGAAATGTTATTTCCAAATCCTAACTTATTTTTTCTTTGTTTCCTGAAAGTTCTGGCTCTAGCTTCTGGTCCTGAGTTAGGGCAGATGACCTTTCTGGGACTTGTGGGAATAATTGATCCTCCACGAACTGGTGTAAAAGAAGCTGTTACTACACTTATTATGTCGGGAGTTGCAATAAAAATGATTACTGGAGATTCACAGGAGACTGCAGTTGCCATTGGTATGAACAGTTGTCTACTTTTCATTTCTCACTTGTTTTCTGTGTTGGCGGTGCCTAGCTAATAGGTATGAAATATGGTTATTAAGTCTTTAGTATTTTTGAGTTCTCTATATTTCCTTAACATATGACACAGTGCAATTAGAATAGAACTAGTCTGATGTGGCACTTTCATTTCTGCTTAATTCATTTCTAATTTGGTAATTTGTGACTTTTTGCTATTTTAAACTACGTATATGTTCTTACTGCGTTCTGTTGTAACATGCCTGATTTCTGTTTCTTAGCAAAGCCACCCTCCCTACCATCAGCTTTGGATGACTGTCTTATAGCAACAGGGAGAAACTAAAATAGTTGCTGACAATATTTAGGATGAATGTGGTGCTTCAGTGGTTTCCCAATCCTGTTTTGTCCATGTGACTAAGTTTGAAGTTTAAGTATTGCTAGTAAATGTTTAAACTAAATGAATATTTAAACAAACTTATCTTATTTTTGTAATATAATATGCAAGCCAGAATATAGATCCTTTTTGAACAGGACAATGGTGGAAAAAGTTGATTGTGCACAAAGAAGTACATCTTGAAGTTAGCAATACTTTCTCAGCTGTGATTTTGCATCTGAGAGTTGTGCACATCTCCATCTTATTTCTCATTTTCTGTCCTGTTGCTTTTGAATTGTAAATTCTCTGGGGAGAGATTATGTTTAGATTGTGCCTGACACAGTGAGATACAGACCTTGACCTGAAAATTTTAAAGGAAATAAATAGCTGATTAGAACAGACTTCACAGTGCAGGTGTTTCTCGAAAGTTCACCTAATTTACTTCAGTGTACTGAATCAGTAGTGTTAGGATGCTGTGCTGTGGGCATTTAAAATCTGAAATACTGCAGAAAATAATAGTTTTAAAAAGTAACTGGCTGCTTAATGTTTGTTTGTTTTAAGTGTTAGTTATTATAATACCTCTCCTATTATCTGTTTCCAGCTAGTCGACTAGGATTGTATTCTAAAAATTCACAGGCAATCTCTGGAGAAGAAATAGATGATCTGGATATCCAGCAGCTTTCTCAAATAACACCCAAGGTTTGTAGTAATATGCTATTCACTGAAATGCAGTAAAAGATACATTTTATACTGAAAAATGCTTTTATCTGTGGAAAGCTGAAATGTAACTTTTGAGATTCCAGTAATGGAAATACGGTTACAGTAAATTACCAAAGGCTTTTAGTACTGACTATGGAAGCTGTCCCAGATCAAACAAATCTTTGTTTGACAGAAGATTGTACCAAGATTCATTTCTTTCAATTCATGAAATTATCTTTTTAGTGAGTTCAACCTTTATTTCTTTCATCTCTCTTTAATGGTTCAAATTGTTGGTTTCTCTTTTATTTTTTTTTAAACCTTTTGGCACCAGTAGTGGAACTTCCATTTTGCCAGCTTTCAGTGAGCATCATCTCATTTTTATATTGTTAGACCATTTTATTTCTTTGAGTAACTTTTATATAACCTTACAATTTTCTTGTTCTGTCAGTCCTTTTGGAATTTATAAGAATAGCTGTCTGAATCTTAAATGATTTCTGATTGATCTGAAGCCACTGGTTAAGAATGTTGAGAGATCTATGTGTTATGTTGGCTGCTTCAATACCTTTTTCTTAAATAACTAAATGCATTAACCAGTGTCATCATGGTAAATGTGTAGCCATAATCAAACGTAATTTAGCTTGTCTCTGTTGCAAAATTTATACAAATTTTCAGATTTCTGCTTAGTTTGCATAATTAGATTGCAGCATGCTTTAGCAATGCAACTAAGCCAAAAGCCAGTACAATTAAGAAATACGTATATGATTTGAATACATTAACTAGAAAGCTTTGTGTCTTGATGACTCACCAAAAAACCCCACCTTTATTTGGTAATACTTGTTCTTACAGGCTGTTCACATTAAATAACAAGAAAAAGCAGCAAAATTAGTTTGTGCACATTTGACCTGAGACCCAGTTGGATTTCTAGCATGTATTTAAAATCTTACTAGGAATTGAGTAAATCAACCAATAAAGTGCAGTCTAATGAGTCTGCTGAGAAGTCTAACTTCAGTGTGGAACTTGTTTGAAAACTGAATTCCACTTAGTCAAATTAATTTACAGAGTAGACAAGAGGTAGAAAAAAACACTGAAAAATAATAATTTCTTCTCATAGAATTTTCATTAGTTAAAACTTCAATGTGTTAATGCCATGCTATATAAAATAGTAAAATTAAAATTTCCCGAGTTGCTTGCCTTTTGTTGTCTTCATTAATTTAGTCAAGAAGCCCAGTAGCAAGCCATTATATCTCAGTTGCTTCATTATTTCAGAGGGTTGTAAAATTGCATGTTCTGTCTTGAAGTAAGTAGCACCAACTTTGTTTACCTTTAAGTCTTCCCTTGAATTCATGATTTCACTCTAATAAAAATGTGTTTCACTGATGCTTCAACCTCAAAATAAACAAGGGCATAGTTGGCCGTAGACAGTATGCTTTTATTCTCTAGCTTTATTGTATCCTACACAGTTCTTCTCAATTTCTCTCCTTCTTCATTGTGCTTCTAACAGGTTGCAGTATTTTACAGAGCCAGTCCCCGACATAAATTAAAAATTATAAAGGTATGTCTCACTGGTGGCTGCGCTGCTGGACAGTGGCTGTGAGCACTGTTTGTAGCATCTGGTTGAAACCAGAAATGAAAGTGAAGTATATCTGAAAATATGACTTGAAAAAAGCATGTAATGTCCACAAAGGCTATGCAACTGCTGGTAGGCAGCATCACTTTGTTATATGTTGGGAGCCGGGTGTTGGAGATTTTTGTCGCATTGCAGTTGAATCGACTGGGAACTTGAGGGAGCCATATTTCTGCTACTTCTGAGAAGCAGAAATAAAGCAATAAAACGGCATGAATTTCAAGTCATGTCTGAGGTAATGCTTCCATTTGGAAGCTAAAAAACAAAGCTAACAAAGCGGGATGTGCTTTTCCTGTTGTTCTAATTCTTATATTAATTATCAACAAAGAATAGAAAGTCAAATATTAAAAGATAGTTAGAATGTTTTGAGAATTATGAAAGGGCCATAACATAAAGATTCTGTATATCCTAGCTTTCAAATCTAGACTGAATATATGACCTAAAATGTAATGTAAAACCTTGTATAAGAGACTAGTACAAACAGTTGTACTTTTTCAGGATTTTATGTTAAAATAATTCTTTTGGGAAAACCACAAACCATTGTATTTAGAATAATTATATAGGATAGGCTATTTCAATCTCTGATTTATGTTTTTTCCCTTTCTTTAGTCCCTGCAAAATAATGGTGCAGTAGTAGCTATGACAGGAGATGGAGTGAACGATGCTGTTGCTCTGAAGGCTGCAGATATTGGTGTAGCAATGGGACAAACTGGAACAGATGTTTGCAAAGAGGCAGCAGACATGATCCTCGTGGATGACGATTTTCAGACAATAATGTAGGTGACGTTTGCATTGATGCACTGTGCTATGTAGTTTTAATGAAACATTGCCTGAGTAAGGAAAGGAGGAAGGCTTTTTGCAGCAGAGTACACTTGTCCCAGGTATTAGAAATCACTTCCTTGCTGTTGTCATTGTGTTAGGCAAAGTGCAGCATGCACTAGAGGATGAAAAAATAGTCTGTCCATATATCATTCTGGTGCAGTAAGAATACATGGTCTTCTGAACTCATTCTCTATTTCTGTCATTTTTGGAAAGTGTGTGTCATTTGTTTTTGGTTTTTTTTGATTATATACCTTGATTCTGGAGGCAGCGTCAGTGATGATGTGAGTCTTAAAAGAAGGAAATTTTTCTATTGACATTTCATTTTGAAAGCAGCCAGAGTAAGAACCATTGTAATTGATCTTACAGTAAAGTACAGTGACTGTCAAAGAACCTCAACTCCACTCTTTTCTTGACACTTGTTTGTGCTTAAATTAGTAGAAATAACACACTTTTTCATTTGTTTTAAGCTTTGTTGCAGTAGCCTCTAGTGGTATGATCTTTGTTTTTAATTGCAGGTCTGCCATTGAAGAGGGTAAAGGAATTTATAATAACATAAAAAATTTTGTTAGATTTCAACTGAGCACGTAAGTCTGAAACATCATTGATAATATTGGAAGGTTCTGACCACATTGTGATTGAACCAAAGCCTCACAAAGCAGATGTATAAACTCATACGAACATTTTAGATTTCATGTGCTGATAGACTGTACTAGGAAGTATCAGTGGTCTTAATGGCGAAAGAATTTTAGGATTGAATTTTTATTAGTTTGTACTTGGTGTTTTGTTTCATTTTTAAACGTTCAGAAAGTAGTTCAGCAAGCAGACCTCTTACAGTTTTTGCTGTTAGGAAGTGAAAAGTCAGTAAATGAGAGGATGCACAAAAACGGGATGGCACTACCTTAGTGTTCTTCTTTAAATGAGAGGTGGCACAGAGCTGTGCCAGAGGAGGCTCAGGCTGGACATGGGAAAAAATTTCTTAACCCTGAGGGTGGTCAAGCACTTAGACAGGTTTCCCATCAAGGAGGTTGATGCCTCATGCCTGTCAGTGCTCCAGAGGCATTTGGACAATGCCTTAGCTTTTGGTTGGCCCTAAGGTGATCAAGGAGTTGGACTTGGATGGTCTTTCAAAGTCCCTTCCAATTGTTCCATTCTATTCTATTCTGACCTTTTAAAGTTAGGGTTATGGTAGTTGTGATCAAAGTCATCAAAATCTATATTGTACTCTTAAATACATGAAGTTTTGCTTACAAAGCAGTTATCGGTAGATCTTCAGAAATGTTCCATGCTGACAGTTATAAAAATGAATTCTTTCAACAGGAGTATAGCAGCATTGACTTTAATCTCACTGGCTACATTAATGAACTTTCCTAATCCTCTCAATGCCATGCAGATCTTATGGATCAATATTATTATGGATGGGCCTCCAGCTCAAAGGTAAGTAATTGCTTACCTTTACTTTAAATTCTGTTAGAGGTTTGTGGTCAAATTACTTAAGCAAGGAAGAGGGTTGCTTGTAAAAGAAACTCTGTGAAGTGTTCAACTTCAGTGATGTGTTCCTGAAACAGAGCAATATTTTTTTTTTTTCATTAGAATGTGTGCAGTGTAATTCTGTGTTCATTCATTTGGCTTGCTTTGGTATCCAGCAGTGGTTGGTTGGGGAGCAGCATGATACCTAAAGATCCACAGCACCCAAGATTCTGGCTTCCATCCAGAGTCTTCTGACTTTCTTCACTGTGGATAGATGGTGGAGGGAGCAGTGAAAGGGAACTAGCAGTAGAATTCCTTAGTTATCAAGGTAACAGGAAGGGCGGGCATTACTGATACTGCAGATTGTCATTTACTAGTTCTGATACTGTCTGATAGATACCACATACTTCTGGACTCTGAAACTGCAGCATTGGAATGTATTACTGATACTTACACCTCAGTGCTTTAAAGGTGAAAATAACAGATGGTTATTTAAATGAAGTGATTATTAAGCTGCAGAGAGAAGATTCAAATCTGTTTTTCCCACCTGTGAAATCTAGTCTTTGTGTAGAAGCAACAAATTATGATGATAAAAATCTGAGATACTTCTTTAATTTTAAGCCTTGGGGTGGAGCCTGTGGATAAAGATGTTATTCAGAAGCCTCCAAGAAATGTGAAGGATAGCATTCTGACCAAAAACTTGATTGTTAAAATACTGGTGTCATCAGTAATTATTGTGTGTGGAACACTGTTCGTCTTCTGGAGAGAGGTATGACAAAAAAAAAGAAAACTTAAAGCAGTAGCAAGCATATTGAAGTCATTTTGATACTAGCAGTTGAAATTTGGAATTCAGAATTTGCTTGAACTTAGTTGCAAGATTTATGTATGCTTATTTAATAATAACTAAGATTAGAGAGGATGAATTTCAAAGCAGTTCAAATGAGAAATAGAATTTTTAATACAGACTTTTCCAGGTCCCAATTGCATTTGGAAAACCTTGGCCAATGCGAAGTAACTGTTAAAAAAACAAACAAACAAACAAACAAACAAAAACCCTAAACAAATAAAAACAAACAAAAACCCTCACAAGCAAACAAAAACTTATAGCCAGGTTGTTAGGAAACAGCTGTTTGCCTTTCTTTTCCCAGAAGAGAAAAAAGCTGAAATTTTAGCAGTGCATCATAGAATTCTTGGTATTCTGTCTGCTTGCATTAATGTTTGTCAAGAGTCTTCACAGCTTGGAACTAAAGTTCTTATAAATTATGGGTGTGTTGTTTCTGTTATGACTTCTTGAATGAGCTTGGAGCAAGCAGATGGTTTTGCTTTTATGTATTAGTTAGTAGAACTTGCATTATTGCAGTAACTGTATTTAGTTGCTGAAGCTTTAAATTAAAGCATGCTAAAGCCAATTTTATTTTTTTGTTGGCAGTTAAGAGACAATGTAATAACACCTCGAGATACAACCATGACCTTCACCTGTTTTGTATTTTTTGATATGTTCAATGCTTTGAGTTCTAGATCTCAGGTGAGTGATTAATATTGCTATTTACATGGTATTTACATCAGTACCTCCCTTCTAAGGAAGATCTTGTGTTTTCTTGTATATGTATATGTATACTTTACAAGTACTATTAAGCTTCAGAGTTAAATAAGTGAAAGGGTTAGCGTTCTCAATTTGTGATGCAAATGATGTTTGTTAGTAATGCTGGTGTTCTGACAAGGGCAAGGAAACTCTTAATAAGAACTGGAAGCGTGATGGTTCCTTGTATTGCTGTTTTGAGTTATTGTATTGCGCTTAGTTGAGCTCTTTCTTTCCTGGAAATCTTGTCAGTTCAGTAACTTTTTCAGAATCTGAAACTTGTTGAAGGCCTTTCAAAGTTTGCAGCCCTAGGAAAGCCTAAGAAAAATTGCTTTAAGAATTCTTTCTGTTTAAATTTTTGTTCTAAGGAAGACAAAGTCTGAAATTTTAGTTAGTTGAATAAATTACACATTACTACATTGAATCTAATTTGCAGTCTGTTTTCTGATGTGAATGTCAGGGTAGACAAAAACACATCCTTCTTGTACAGTGGGCACTTTCTAATGCATGGCACTTGTAGAGAAGTGAGAGAGCTCAATAAATAAATTCTTGACTGTTAAAGCAATATTTGCACTCATTTTACCATTTAATTATCCTCTCAAGAACCTCCAAGTGTTTTGGATTATCTTCAAGGTCAACAATTCAACAATAGTTTTTTTTTTTTTACACTTTTATAAATGTTGGAAAAAAGTTATGAATTATTTTCTTGTCTAGACAATAAAAATTACATGTACAGTGTAATATATTGCTTGTTTTACAGACAAAATCTGTGTTTGAGATTGGACTTTGCAGTAACAAAATGTTTTGCTATGCTGTCCTTGGATCTATAATGGGGCAGTTATTGGTCATTTACTTTCCTCCACTTCAGAAAGTTTTCCAAACAGAGAGCCTGAGTGTCTTGGGTAAGAAATGTTCCTTTTCAAAGAACAGTACATTAAGGATTAATTTGTAAAAGCACTGGGTTATGGAAGTGGGCATGGTGCTTAGGGACATGGCTTAGTGATGGACTTGATTGTGTTATGTTAATGATCTTAAAGGTCTTTTCCAACTTAAATGTTCAATGATTCAGTAAGAGCTCTTTCTGTTTGCATACAGCAGGAAAACCAATCCTGCTGATCCTTTTTAAGAGGGGAAAAAACACTTCTAGATATTTTGTTTGGAAACCATAAATAAGTGCATATTGCACACAAAACAGACAAGTGAGTGTGTTCTTAGATTTCTGAAGCACCTGTATATCTTAGGAATTTTAATAAGTACTGATGCAGGCAAAAAGGAACTAGATGATCTTAAAGGTCCCTTCCAACCCAAACCATTCTATGATTCTGTGTTTTTAGATAATTCTTTGTCTTTTTATAGTGGTGTCATTTCTGAGAATATCATTTCAGTATAAAGCTAATTATGTTGCTTAGTGTTCTTTGCTTTTCTATGTATTAATAAAAGCAGTGTTATGAAATGCTTTAAGAATTTGAAATAGCGTGTGTGTCCTTGTGATTAGTGCATGAACTATGCACACTAATTGTCTGGTTCTGCAAAATGGTTCTTGCTTCATTTCTGCTCAAATTACCCAGTAATATGCAGCAATTTGAAGGTCTTGTAAGTCATATATTCCTTTGTCAGTCTGCCCTCAATCTTAAATAGCAAGTTTTAAAAAGACTAATTATCTCTTCCAGATTTACTGTTTCTTCTGGGACTCACTTCCTCTGTGTGCATAGTGACTGAGATCATAAAGAAGTTTGAGAGAAGCAAGGAAAAGATCCAGAAACATGGAAGTTCTTCTTCGTCAACTTCGTCTTTTCTTGATGTATGATGCATATTGCATTCTTTTGTTTGCAAACTTAGGGATTGCTGTCTGAAGATGTAGGAGAAAGCAAAACAATATTTGGAGGATTAAGAAGTCCTGAGGGCTTTTGACAAGTCCTTTGTTTTACTGACTAATGATGAACATTGGTGTTTCAAGACTGTTTAGAATTTAACTTCCAGCTGTGGGAGTAACAATTGAAATTATGCAACTTTGGTAACATTTTTCCTCAAACCAATTTACTTTTGAGATTGAATGGGATTTTGTGTGTGGGGGGGGTTAATTTAAAGAAAGATCTAAGCCCAAGTCCCATTTTCTGCACTTAGAGGTATAATTGTATAAAATTCTTCTCTTAGATATAAATATTTTAGTTTGTTTTTATTTAAAACATTGTACTATTTTACTTTTATGGTGGTGGGACTTTGCTACTAATACAAGGATTAAAAAAATATTTCAGAGGCATTCCACTGGGTTTAGTCTGTCACAAGAGTGCCATATTCTAGCTACTGTATTTATTTACTTTATCCTGCAATGTGTAAGCGGCTCAAGTACCTTGTGCTACAGTTTTTTTTTTTGTATCTGGAGGTTATTTCTTTTTGCACAGGATGTGACCGCTGTCGGATCACTGTTTGTTCTTTTCTTTTTCTGTGATTGAAAAGCCTATACTGCAATTTGAAGTAAATGTTTGCTTTTCTTATGAGTGTGGTGTCTCTTTGCTTGAAAAGGAACTGGCATTTACACCAGATTGTCAGGCTTGTGATGGTTTTGGATACCTGCTTTGTTCCACATTTACTTGAGCTTGCAAATGCTAGATTACTTGAGTAAAAAGGCAGTACTAGTATTGAAATATCTGACTTACAATTATGTGGTATAGTGAATTAGAAAGCAAACATACTAATTCTCACTGTAATGGCAAAAAAATCCCAGCTTTCTTTGAAATAAGCTGATTTTTTCCTTCTGCACCCCTCCTGTTTTTTTTTTTTTTCTTCCCCCATCATTAAAATAAATAGCTTTCTGTAACTTAGTAAATTAACTTACTAGTAACTTAAAATTTTAATCTTCAAAATGACTTTTTGTGGATCAAGAAGTGTTGTGGTGTCTTGATACGTTAAAAGTAATTTTTAATATACGATAATATCTGGATATTCAGATATTCAGTGATTCAGAAACAAACAGCTGTGTTCCTCAAAGTAGTCTTGCAGCTGTTGTTGCTGTTAGAGATGGACCAGTTATGCCCTGAGGAAATGGAAGGAACAGTCACCCAGTGAATCTTGAAAAGATGATGTGCAAGAACTCAAGAGGGAGCCAAAGACAGAATGCTGTATCTTTTGACTGAAAGCATGTGGAAACACATCTTCCACACTGCAGCCTGGAAATGGTGTTTTGTGTTGGTGTTGGCTCAGAGGCATGCTGTCACAAGATGGTCATCCTGTCAGTAAGGTTATTGAGAAATTCTGAATGAGCAGTGGGACATTTCTGCACATTTCTTTGTGGCTTGCCCCAAATGCCATCTTCAGAATCTGGAAAGTTCATGGAAAATAAGGCAGATTGGAAGGTGTTGTATGAATTTTCCTGCTGATTGGTTATTCTACTTATTCTTTTCCCCCCCACACACACTCCCAGAGATTCCCAGACATTGTCAGGAAGTGGAGTGTGGTAGATGGGAACTGAGTTCACGTGCTATGCAGGAACTGTATATAGCACTGTTTGCTGTGCACACACAGTTCATCATTACTCTGGCCTACCTGGGCCTGCTGAATGTGCACTTATTACCTGCAGCGCCAATGTGCAGGGGGTTTAATAGTGTAAGGGGAAAGACTTTAGTATATGGCACTCACCTTTTCTACAGGATGTTAGGTGAACCGCTGAGCTGATAAGGGCTCAAACAAGGTGACCTCATAGAAATCTTTTAGCACAAATTTCTCATTTCCAGCAGTTCTGCTTTTCAGCAGTTGAAAGGATTTATCAGTGTTCCTCCTGTTGGACTATTGCTGTCTGACAAGTGGGTCTGAATTACCAGCGTGTTCAGTATTTCAGTGCAACTTCAGAACATTTTAAAACTTCATTAGTATTTAAAATTCTTCAAATCCCAGTAAAGATGTAGTAAAAACTGTGATGATGTGCGCTGATGAAGAATCACTTGCACCAGCCTGGATTTTGAGAAAGTGCAGCAACTACTATGTCTTTCAGCTAGTAAGACTTCTTTTTGATAATCTTCTCCATGGGATTTGACTACTTCACACTCTGCATGTGTTCTTGGAGTCCTAGAAATCCAAGTACATAGAGAAGTGCAGATAAGCATAAATGTATTGACATAGGGAGGAATTATTTGCTAGGCTTTAAACAAATTTTACAAAGTACTCATTTGCCAGCCTGAGTCTCACGTTCTGAATTTACCTGTTAGTGTAGACAAGAAACAAAATTTAGTCCCTGAAGAACTATTAATTCTACCTTCTTAAAAGGTGTACTTACTTAAAGTGAATTATAATGAATTATGCCTTAGGCGTTTCTGCTGTATTCCAGTGGAAGGTGAAACAGTAACAAGTAATTTATCTAGTAGTTCAATCTCATTATTTGTGAGAAACACTTGGACTGTCTGAATTCCATTGCTTTTTTTTTACGCTCCATTTTTGGTCGATATCACCTGGCAGCATGTTTGAGATTTTCTTCAGAGCAATTGAATCAACAGCAAGATCTGTCCTCAAAAATTGACAGGCGCTTCATGTAGTGTGAAAATAGGCAGCAATTAAGTAATTTAGTTGCTCTTATTAAAGCACTGAATTGAGAAAGAACCTTTTATTCTTTTATTGTTTCTGGTTGTTTTTCTCCCAAAAGAAGACGAGAAGCCTATGATGACCCAAAGAAAACCCAAACAAACTCTGAGTAGTGATCCTAGAATCAGTTTGCATTGAGAACACATTTCCAGTAGAGTAATTTTTTAATCATCAGGTCAGCACTCCCAAAGGTAGTCTCAGGCTGTATTGTGATCATAGCAGGTTTTAATCCAAAAAATAGAATGTTTGTCTTTGGAACTAACTCAAGATTGTGCTTCTTAGCAAGGCTCAAGAATTACTTATCTCTGGTGTTTTCCCAACTTGGGATGTAGAGTGGTTAAGATCTCTCCTCTTACGGCAACAACAAAGTGAAATCAAGCATGCCCGTTCTTTTGTTTGTTTGTTTGTTTGTTTTAAGGACTATAACTTAAAATGGGATGATGATTATAAAAACCATGAAGAATGATAAGCTTGGGAATCGAAACACATGAGACGATAATGATTCAAAGGATGATTTGGATGAATAAGAATTTACGTCTTAGTTTCTAAAATCATGAACTTAAATGTATCACCTTCCAAGTATTAAAGTCATCTGATGGAACTGTGGCTGTAGGTGGCTGTAAACAGCCAGAAAGGTGTTAAGCAATTCTAGTACCTTGCTCTGTGGTTGAGTGTGAGTGCCATCTGCTGCTAATTGAGAAAGTAGCAGTTCTGTACTGACAACTTCATTATTACCTACCCTGTTACCTGCTACTTCAGTCTGTCTCAAAAATAGTTTTTCTGTGACTTAAATATACGCTATAATGTATCAATTTCTCATTGAATGTATTATGAAAGTATCAAGACTCAGCTGTACAATATCAGAAACTATTCCTGTAGCTCTTGAGATCTAGGTTTTCCATGTAGAAAACACTATGACAGTGTATGGTGATGAGCCTTCAGCAGCCTCTGCAACTTGTGTGGGGCTCCACACAGCAGCTTTCCATCTGTGATGCTTCCCCATAGTACAACGTGATCCATCTGTGAACAAGGCATATCTCTTCATTTTCTGGTAGTTCATTGTATGGTGGGGCCTCTTTAACATGCAATACTACTTCTGCTGGTGATGTTCCAAACTTTTTACCTTCAGGCCAGTCCATGATCACCTCTAAGATTCCTGGATTGCTGAGGTTCCCCATCCGAGCTCATTGTGTCAATGCAATCCACTTACTCCATGTGGTAGCAGTAGCATGATAGGTGGAGGGAAACGGAAACTTTCCCTTAAACATCCAGTTCAGTGATGACAGCTAGCTCTCCCTAAAACTACAGATATTCTACTATCCGTGAAAACAGTATTTCTTTAAATTGTCAATTTCAATTTTAATTTGATTTGTAAGACTATACTCAATCATATAGCAGCATGGATAGCTGCCTCTCAGACACAAGTTTGAAAATGGGATGTTTTCAAAGTTAAAAGCAGTCAGGGAAGAGGAGGGATAGTAAGCTTTAAGTGTTCAGAAAAAGAAACGCTCTGAACTGCTAAAGTTCTTTACTCTCATTTTCAATTAGAAAGACACCTTTTAATCATCCAACTAGCCAACCCCCGCTCTCCACCCACAGAAAACTCAGACACTAAAACATATTGTAGGCAGCACCTCTTTTATAGGGGCTTTTGTTACAAAAATACTAAATCCTGGAGCGAGACTCATTGGTAAAAAAATAAATTAAAAAATATCAGGAGCTTGTATGAAAATAGCCAAGCAAATTCCAATACAGTCACATTTTAAATATAATTTCTTCTGTCTCTGTGGCATTGGAAATGATTTTAGGAATAATGCTCTCAGTCATCCACACTGAGTGATGCAAACCTATTAACATCACGAGTTTCAGATACAGCACACCTGACGGCCTTTGTCTTTTTAGATGCTTTTTTCTTTTTGCAGGACTCAGATTTGGCCTCTGTTTTCTTCTGAAAGAAGTCTGGAGATACAGTTGATATGACTGTATTCAACAGAACCTGATAAAGCTCAGTCATTTTTGGAGAAGAACTGAACAGATTTTCCACTGAAGGTGTTGATTTAAGCTCTTGATACAGTCCGTGCACGAGGGTCCCACTATAGAGCCTGCTCAAAGGAAGGAGAGAATTCTCATTTGCTATCATACCTCAGCAGAAGTACAGAAACATGCAGCTTAGTGGGGAAAGCAAGCCAAACACCCCAAACCATGTCTTAACTACATGCAATATTCAACAGCAGACCCCTAAGAAATATTCTAATTAGATTTTTCTCCATATTCTCACCTTTAAAGAAAGGAGTCCAAATTGTGCTAAAATTGACCAAAGCAGTTTATGACGCAGACAGTAAAGCAACATGTGAAATCACTGCAGCAGGAGCTTATGTGGAGAGCAGATCTCTGAAATGTGCTTACCTAGCTAAGTCTGGCTCAGGGAGAGGTCTGCAGAGTAGCTGGTTGAGATACAATCCCATCTCAAGACAGCACTGCCACTGGCAAAAGCTATGTGCAGCATCTAAATCAAAGTCTTTATTTTGCAGTTTCTCTTCCTTCCATTTTAGAAATTCATTATAAGCAATTCTGTTGTCTTCTGGGTGGAGAACTGTGAGATTTAGGTTATGAATAGAAAATGACAGACAAATAAATATTATTCTGTGAACACACAAAAAGTATCTGCAATGTATAGGGCCTACAAACTACCAGTGTTTAGTTGTATTTCTGGAAGCCTACCTAAATGTCTCAACATTAAGACATACAGTGGAGAAAAAATGTGAGTATCATTATCCATATGAATCTGAAATGATGAAAATAGTAATTCTGTCAAGTACTTTTCCACAGTTCTGGGAGTGAATCCATTTGAGGAGATTGCCATCTCGCTCCACCCCACTCGAGAAGCAGGTGGCAGTCATTTTCAAGCAGCTTTTGTAGTTCAGAGCCTAAATCAACAGAATAACCCTGGCATGCATCATCTTTGGCATCATATCAAGGACTCTTCCTAAGAAAATGCCACCTTACCCCTAACACGTAGAAATATTACTGAAAGTACCGAGTACTCACAGAAACTGTGATTTCTGCATCCAAAATTGTATTCTCTGGAGACATACCTGGCTCATTTGTTATCCTGTGCAGTTCTCCAGATACCATCATTAGAAGCAGAGCCTTTAAATGATGTAAGTTCACTTTAGGTTCCGAACAACGCGTCCAATAACAGGTTACAGCAACAGGGAGTTGTAAGTGGGAGGGGACAGATTCTAGCAAACTCATTTTCACTCCTAAAGTCTCCAGCAGAAGTAGCTGACGGCGTGACATTGGCACCTGAAAATAAGCAAAAGATTTTGAAGGAAAAAAAAACAGACTTAATTTGTTGCAAGTCATTTCCAGAATGCAGATAAGATCACTTAAACTAGCTAATACTTTGTGATTTAATTAAAATAAAAAGTTAAGTGCCACAGATACTCTGAACAGGAAGTATTTTTGAAACACCACTTAAGAAGGCAATTTTCACAATTGCCTGAGGTCAGCTGGATTTTAACAGGCTTCAGAGTCTCCTGCAAATCAGGTTATTTATATTACATTCCTGTGCAAAAGTTGACTTTGAAAATTCAGCAGGTGTAACGTATTAAAGTTACCTTGCTATGGCAAATACGTCTGTGTAACTTCATGTCCTCAAAAAGCGACCCTTTTTTTGTGAGCTGTAATGGCGATGCTTGTTCTTGGTATGTCAACAACACACCTGTTATCACAGTGAAACCTTCGGTGTACAGTTTACCTTTCTTACTTGCAATATATGAACTCATAGCACATTCCTTCTTTGCTGTGCTATTTAAAACTCAGTGCTACAAACTGTCCAGACGCAGTGCTCACTGCGGAACTGGAGCAAGGTGTTCAACTGCAACACGAGCGCTTTGTAGATCTGGATTGGGATGGTTGTGCTTATTGCAAAGCAGCAATCCCACAAGTAGAAGTTAAACTGAAGCCAATTTTGCCAAGAGTGCTCTGAATACAGAGTAACACATCTTGTAACTTGTTGAATTGGTAATTCGTATATATTTAGTGAGGAGAGTTGTTATAATAACCAAAACTCAAATTCAGTAGGGTATACAATGCAAGACCACATTTAGGTGTCGTTAACGTTTCTGAAAGTCCCAAACCACAGACTTCACAGATGTTTGCATGCTACTCATTCAAAATAACAATACATCTGTACCACAGCAGGGACAGACAAGGCTCACAGCCACCAGCTGCTGATGACAACACACAAATGTGCTGCTGTGGATCTGATGCCAGTGGGCAGAGCACATGGAACAGGCTCCCCAGGTAGGTGGTTGAGTCACCATCCTTGGATGTGTTTAAAAACCATTTGGATGTGGTGCTCAGGGACATGATTGAGAGGAGGGTTGTTAGAATTGGGGTAGTATGGTTAGGTTGTGGTTGGACTTGATCTTGAACGTCTTTTCCAACCTGAGCAATTCTATGATTCTATGTACAATATGGAAAGGCACAGATTGTATTTCCAAAAGTTTCAGAAACAGGTATGAACCCTGGCTGTTTCCCATTCCAAGGAATAGTCTCAACCATAAAAAACCATGAGAATTTAAATATACCACATTGCTAATGTTGACTAGAACTAACCTAGTACAAACTTCCTTTGATTACAAGTTGTATTTTTCAGGTGCTGCTCTGCTTGGCAAGGAGCAGGGAAGTACGCATAGCAGGATGCGTATTCAGAACAGGAGGAACTGCTGGACAGCTGAAGGGTTTACAGATGAAATAATAATGCTGATTTTTAGTTAAAAAAAAAAAAAAAAAGCATTTAACTTTGCTCTGAAATATCCGTAACTTGATCAAATGCAAGTTAAATTTAGTAGTGTTGAATTGCACCTTTCTAAATTTCACAGAACTGAGAGTCCTTTCCTAAAACGACAGAAGCAAATATTAGTTTGACGTTATAGGAAGGATGGGAGAAGGGCTCCCACGGGCTGATTCAGCAATGCTATACGAGCACGCTGCCAGCCGGTCATTTGTCATTTGGCTTGGTGCACTTGGTGGGGGGGAGTGAGGGAACGTGCTCAGCTCCTCAGCCCTCAGCAGCAGGACCGCGTGTAGCCGCGCGCTGAGCGTTTGCTCACTGAAGCCGCCGGGTTCACCGATCACCTTTAGCGCCTCGCTGCCAGACACAGCGCCTCCTAAGCGCGTCCCACCTGCTGCGACGAGCACTCACCTCCACTAACTTGTCCAGAGTGAAGCCATCGTCGCCAAAAGGCGCGGGGAGGCTCGCCGCCTGGACAAACGTCTTTTTAATGGACTTTTGGACTCGGTCGAACTCGCACACGGCCGGCGGCGCGCAGCTCCGTGCCTCGGCGCCGGGAGCCGCGCGCAGCAGCAGCAGGCCGTACAGAACCCGTCGGATGGGCAGCGCGGCGCCGTGCGCGCTGGGCCGCCGCAGGTCCTCCACCTGGACGTGCAGGAAGGTGCTCCTCAGGGTCAGGACGTTCGCGACGAGCGGGGCCAGCTCGCCTCTGGCCAGGGCGCCCAGCAGCCACGGCGGCAGCCCCGAGGCCTCGGCCTCCTCGCAGCGGTAGCGGCCCTCCGCGAAGAACTGCTCGAGGTTCGCGTCGGACGGCGCGTAGTCCCGCAGGGCGTCGCGCAGCAGCTCCCGCACGGCGTCCCTCCGCCGCCCGCCCACGTGCTTCAGCACGGCGTCCGCCGCCTCCTCGGGCCCGGCGAAGGCCGCCAGCCAGCGCAGCAGCCCCCGCGCGCGGCCGTGCTTCCCGGGCAGCCGCACCTTGCCGAGGAGCCCCTCGAACGCCGCCGCGTCCACGTAGTCGTTGCCGCTCACGACGGCGAAGAGCGGCAGCGCGCTGCTCCTCAGCCGCCCGAAGTGGCGGCAGAAGCTCTCCGCCTCGAAGCGCCGCGCGGGGACGTAGCGGCCCGCGCGCTCGGCGCGGACGTCCCGCCAGCGGAAGGCGCTCAGCGGGCAGTACCCGCCCGCCAGCTGGAAGATGAAGAAGTCGCTGTCGAGGGACAGCACGGGGCAGCCCCAGCGGTTGGCCAGAGCCGCGACCTCGCGGTCGGCCTCGGCCCAGCACTGCGCGAAGGGCACCGCGGCCCGGCGCAGCGCCTGCACGAAGGCGTGCCGCGCCAGCAGCGGCAGCACGCGGCCGCCCTCCCCGCGGGACAGCCCGTGGGCCGCGCGCAGGCGCTCGGCGGCGCGCTCCCGCAGCGTGCCCAGCTTCCTGTCGGCCGCCCCGCGCCCGCCGTCCAGCACCACGAAGGCGGCCACGCCGCAGGAGCGCAGGACGGCGAAGAACTCGTCCGCGGCCGCCGCGAACGGGCCGTAATCGCCGCCGCGGCGGAAATCGGCGGCGGAGCCGAAGAAGAGGTGGTAGTAGAGGCTGCTGCCGTCGATCACCAGCTTGGTGTCCCGCACCCGCAGCTCCGCGAAGAACGAACCGCTCTCCTCCACGAAGCCCGTCAGCCCCGGGACGCCCATGGCGGCGGCGGCGGAAGCGGCCCTCCGGCCGGGCTCGGCGCGCATGCGCAGCGTCGCCTTGACAACGGCGCCGCTCGGGCCCCGCGGGCTGAGCTGCGGGTATCGGCGCTCCGCGTCCCGCGCGGTGCTGGCAGGTAACCGGCCGGCTTCACGCGGCAGGGTGCCGAGGGGGGGAACGGCTTTAAGCTAAAAGAGGTTTGCGTCGTTGTTAAGGTGGTCTGTAGTAAGTACAGTTTGGCTGCGTCTCGCCACAAAGTCGCGCTCCTTGGGGCAGCGTGCCAGCAGCTCAGTGTTGAAATCGCTTGGTGCACGTTTGGTTACTGTTCAAAGGCAGGTTTCAAACTCGTGATCGTCATTTCGGCTCCGTGTCCGTAGGAAGGCAATCCCTTGGCACCAGAAGTTACGTGGTTTGTAAAATAAAGCTTTTTCTCTTCCCTTTTCCATGAGAAACAGTGCTGATGAGACAGCAGTAATACCTGTGCTGATGAACGGATGTTAGGACGTCTGTTTCTTTGCACTTGAGGATCCTTTGAAACAAAAAAGCAAAGTAACAATACCGATGTTGTTTTAGTATGTAAGGAGAAGCATCTGCTTGTTATCGTTTGGAATGAGGAAGGAAAAGAAAACAAAGTCAGTCCAAAAGCATTTTCAGTCATAGCAAGCCAAAGTAACAGCAAAAGTTTGCTCCTGCTCTCTCTGCGTTTGCAGATTTAAGACCTCGGTCAGACAAGAGAAAGCTAAACTCTTGGAAAGGTGGATTGGAATCAAGTTATTATAGCAAAAGAGAAAGGAAGAACTTTTGGAAGAAGTGAGTGTTGTTAAAAATCCTGTAGGTTTGTGGTCAGCCAGGAAGCTGGTAGCAGTCAGTCACTCATGTAAGTGCTGACAGATGGCAGAAAGATGGTGGAAGTTGAAGGGCAAATGAAAGAGTAAACAGCTTTCTAGTTAAGAATATTACATTAACAAATCTTTTCCTTTCTGTTTCAAGTATTTCCTCGGAACATCTGTAGAAGAGTAAAAGGATTTGAAAACTGCATTCTAGAGAAATTTGGGTAGTTTCTGTTACACGGAACAATGCTGAAATTTCAAGAAACTGCTAAGCATGTCAGCGTTTCCAGCTCTAATTCTGCTTGCTCAGATGCTGCTATCGGAAGGAGATACACCATTCAGAGGAAACTTGGCAATGGGAGCTTTGGAAGTGTGTATCTGGTTTCTGACAAGAAAGCAAAACAAGGAGATGAATTGTAAGTAATCTCTTTACATGCTTAAAAAAAAAAAAAAAATGTTTGGACCATAATTCTTGCATTTTAGATGTTTCTTTATATTCATTTGTTTCTGCTCTTAAGTTTGGTGTTATGTTGCAGCGTTTACTGTTCAACTGTAGTGAGGACAGAAGAGCAGACTTTATGCTGACTCTTTGTTTAAAATAGTTTGTGAGATAAGGAGGATGTCAGGGGGAAGCTCTTTACTAAGAGAGTGGTGAGGTGCTGGAACAGGCTGACGGGAGAGGTTGTGGATGCCCCGTCCCTGGAGGTGTTCAAGGCCAGGTTGGATGGGGCCCTGGACAGCCTGGTCTGGTATTAAATGTGGAAGCTGGTGGCCCTGCATGTGGTGGGGAGGTTGGAGTTTCATGGTCCTTGAGATTCCTTCCAAGCCAGGCCATTCTGTGTGATAAGTCTGTGTCACTGTGCTTGTATCTAACTTCTATTTATTACGTAAGACAGAGGGGAGGTGAGTGGAAAATCTCTGACCCTCCTCTCCATAGTGATGTTTACTTCTAAAGCTGTGCAACAACTGATTTAAACAAGAAAATTACTTATTCCCAATGTCATACCTTGGACAAGTGTAGAATGCGCACTGGAAAGAACCTGGTATTTATGCAGAGCTGAGGTGGATTTCTTCATTGTCCTAACAAGAAGCAGGGCATGGATGCATGCCAGTTTTCACAAATTTGTGTTCTTTGTAGCAAATTTTTTTCGTTAAAGGCTTAAAGCATTGTAATTTATAAACTGTGATTGAGTAATTATATAAATATGTATTATATGATTGGTGTGAGTATAATGCAGGTGTGTGGTTTATATGCGGAGGCCTTGCATTTAATAAGGAAATCCTGTTCTGCAAGTTAATCAAAACTCTTACTAGAATGCTGGACATGTGCCTTTCATTCCCTGCTCATCCTTCTTCATCAAGATGAAACTTCTGTTTCTAAAAATGTTGAGGATGAGCCCTCCTTAAGTTCAACTACTACAGTGTCTAGCTCTATAACTGTTCATTCAGTGCTCATAAAAGCACTGACATCTTAGACATGAGCATGAAAATGTCAGAATTTCTGAACATATTTTAATAGACTTCCCTCTTTATTTCTGATGATTTCTTATTTACTTTCAGCGAATACTTGGTAACACCCAATTAGAATTCAGGAATTATTTTATGCCACTGTTAAGGACTGGCACTGTTCCTGAGGTGTCAAAAAGAAACGCTACAGTACTGATCTTTTTCTTAATAACTGAGTTGTGTAAATGAAACTTCAGAAGGAATAGTTATAGAAATTCCAGTAAACAGCATTTGCATTTGCTGTATGCCTTACTGATAGCATTATTTCTTTTAATTGCCAGCAAATCTTGGTTTTTGTACCTGCCTGAAGGTAGGCAGGTTGCATCAGTTTGACTGATAATCCCCTTAGGATTCTGAAGCTATAAAAGACAGAAAACCATTTTCAGGAAGCTGGGTGCCTGGATGTCATTGGACTTCATTGTATAGAAATATTTGTGTATTGGTTTGAGACTTCCAACAAATGAAATTAGAATGTGAATATTTCTGTTTTAATCCAGTAAATTTGTGAAGCTTTTTGTTCAAAGTGTGAAAAATCCAGTCAGTGTAGCTGACAGCCAGAAATACATTCTTCCTTTAAATCTGGGGGTCTGTTTTTTTTTTCTGATGGATGTGTCAATGAGCACAAGCATGATAAAAAGAACTTTTTTTTTTTTATTTACTCGTGCTTCAGTTGTGCTGATAATGACAAGGCATTCATGGCAGTGCTGCTTGATTAAATATGTATCAATGACACAGTTCTTTCACTTGTTGTCCTTCAACATCAATTTGCAGATTCTCAGCTCCTTGGTTGAAGGGTTGAAGGCCGCTAAGTTCTTTGATTTTTCTGGCTGGGCTTTAGATCTCTCTTAGCTCTATCTGTGGTTTGATTTAATTTTTTTGTTTTTAAATGAAAACTTTGAAAATATTAGTAGAAACAATTTATGAATTTTATTTTCCTGTTAGCATCCTTTACCATGCAGATAGGATGACTCCCTCGGCTTGTATGACCATTCAGAATTTGATTGAGTATGTTTGAATTCAGAATATTAACAGGATATTGAGCTCTGTGTCCTCAGTTTCTTCCTCCCTTTACCCCCTTCCCTTTCCTCCCTTCCTGCTACAGAACCTGCCAAACCTCAAAACTCCAGGAATGTGTATTTTGCCTTTAAGTAGTTATTACCTCTATTTATTTTCCTTCAGATTTTTTTCTTTGAAAACTTAAATTCTTAATGATGGTATTTTAGACAAACAAAAGTGCTTCAGCACTTCATGCCTGTGTTTGAGGCTGTCAGTCCTCAGCCATCCCCAGGACAGGCTCTGAGTATCAAAAAGCGTATTCTGTTTTGCTGCTGTTGTTTGTGAGTCAGTTTTTATGTCTGCATGAGTATCTCAAGTGCTGATATTATAACGCAGTTCACCATTTTATCACTAGGGGGTACTCGTGTATCACCGTTTTTCCCTGTTCCTCTGAGCCACGGATGTAAGTTGAAGAGCAGATTGCCCCAACTTTCTGTCATTTCTATGCTAAAAGACGACAAAAATACAGGCCCCAGTGATGTGAAATCTCGAGCTTTAGAGTGTAGGTACTTTCTTCTCTTTAACCCTATCCATTTTTGAAGGAGATAAAACATACTGCTTTTTGCTTCTTAGGTTTTCCTTTGGGAAATACATATGTTTTCAGATGAAAAATTGTGTTTTTGTTCATCATATTTCGTACTCTTTCAGAGTAATGCATTTCAGAGTGTGATCCAAATTATGTTTATTACCTGTAAAAAAAAATATATATATATCTTAGAGATCTGAAAGCACTTTGGCAGAAAAAGGGGAATTGAGATAGTTAAGTCCCAAATGACCTCAACAGTATTAGATTTCTGTTTTTATTCTTTGAGAGATGGTTCAGAATGTACCAAAAAAAATGTTTACATACACACTGCTGACTTGCTGAGCTGCTGTGTGATACATCTGAGTTGTGTCCTATACAGATAAGATGGACAGGAAGTACTGCTGCTATGGTGGTGTATGTAGGTCTCGTACTACACACTGCTCTTAAGCATTCCCTTGTATGACTCATTCCTTTCCTCCTTAACCTCCTAATTTGTATAGTTTGTAACTTGTTATTTTTTATAGCCTTTTATGTTTATGGTGCAGTGTGCTTTCTTTTTTACTAGATGACTCCGAAAACCTTTTTCATTTTCATTTTTTGCCATGCCCTGTTTAAATTAGAAAATTATATATAACTGTAAACAGCTGTCAGTTACATACATAGCTAAGCACCCAAATGTCTCAGCTAGGTAAAATTTATACTCATATGTTTTCTAGTGTTGATGAGCTCCTTTGGACAGTAAATCGTTTTTAGTTGTCATATAATCTTAAAAATACTGTCACAGGATTGCTCTCATTTTACTTAGCTTATTTGCCTATACAACTTGTTTTTTCTTCTTTCCCAAGTTGTGTTATCCAGGATGTAGAAGGAGGAAACCAGGCTAGTGATTAGTAGTCTGGGTTGAGATTGTGCCTCATGGAGTTATTTCAGACTAGCCATTGACTTTAGGGATCATGCTTACCTCTTGTCAAAACTGCTTTGTGTAGATACAGGACAAATAACTCTCTTGAGGTTTGTAATAATCTCATAAAAAGAAAAATAGAGGTTCTCGTGTTAGATATTTGGCTGGGGAATGTGATTTTTGTCCTCCTTGCTTGTGTAGCCAGTTAGGTCATCTGCTCTCCATCTCCTACAAGAAATTTTGATTCTGTTAAATAATTCTCACCAGTTATTATGGAGGGTTACACATCTCAAAGACAGAAATTCCTTCAACTTAGGAAACTAAACAGCAGATGAGACTAAAATAATGCCCTCATAAAGACAAAAGCCTTAATCAGGAGGAGACTTCTTTATGAAAGTCTTTCTTCTGTACTAGACAACTTGTGCATGGGAGATACCATAGATTTCCTTGTGTTTGGGAAGAAGCTATGGTTAGAGTTTTTATCATCTTACACCACAAATTCAGGTAGACATAAGAGATATTTATAGGAAATAAGCTTCTTAGTTCCAGTTTAAACGGAATGGCTTGTTTTCTGTATTATTTGATATTTTCACCATTAGATATTTGCAAATCTTTTGATTTTGAGGCAGTTTCTGTACATTCATTAAAAGTGAGATTTAATTGCCTAATATTGACAGTACCTTTCTATTCTACTACTCTCTAAAATGAGCTTTGATAAATCTGTATTTCAAATTGCAAACTGATTTAGGTAATATGTAACTGAAGTCCAGATAAGGATTGCATCCTCCTGCAAATATTTGCCCTGTTTTTTAATCTTTTTCCAGGGTTTGAACTGAATTTAGGCATGGTGGATGGGAATGCAAATGACTGGTTGCCTGTTAGTGGAGTTTTTTATTTTTTTACAGGCTCTCATGTTGACTCTTTTAGGAAGAAAAAATGGTAGCTTTAAGAAGGTTAAAAATTACTTCTGTATATGTTTTTTTTTTTCTTTTTTTCTTTTCTAGAAGTTGCATTAGGAATGAAGTTGGACCTATGTCTTTGTTTAAGTAGCAAGGGACAAACAGGGCTACTCAGTCGCTTTTCCAGACCTATGTAAACCTGCTGTGGAAAACTGTCTATTAAGAATGATTCTTGGCATGTATGTGGCCCCTCTTCCATTCTGGGACCTCAGAGCACTTTTTGGAGCTGTGAAATATTTTTACCCAGTTTGTAGATGGGCAAGAAACAGAGAGGTTAAATAGTTTGCATGTATTCATGCAGGGAGATGGTGATAGGCCTGGGAAATAACTGGGCCCTACTTGCTGTGTCGTTTGTTGGTGTTTTGAAGATCCTGCTTCTATTTAGCAAGATTAACAAGATTAACTGCACTGTAGATGCACAACCATTGTCAAGAGCTCAATATAATGAGGGCCAGTTCTACAATTTGG